GCAGGCCTTCGGTATACTTACAAATTAATATAAATAACTTGGCCCAATTTTTGTAATTAGGTTATAGTAAACAGTTGGCTGATCACTAGATACCAACTACCTCTATATGCAAAGGGACAAGCCAAACATGTGACTGGACTTCATAACTTCATTAATTAGAGTTATTCATTAATAAGAATCACATCATATAAACTAGAACCCTGGTTAACCAAATTTGGGTTAACCGAAACCCGACGTTAACTGAAACAGTTCCATAAAATAAAAGGCCTACAGGGCTAAAATATAAGTATGTTTCTGTAATTTTTAATGTAAAATGCTTTAGTAATTTCAGTTGTTTAGTTAAAGTATTTTCTAACTCATTTTAACATTTTTGTAGCCGAAATAAAACACTGTATAATATAGACATTGTTTTTAATTAATTTTTCCTACACACTGTTGAACATTCTATCCCTACAAATAGGCTATTTTTAGCATATGACGGATTAACAAAAAAAAATGATTATCCTAAACGGATCTCCCCCCTTTATTTTGGATTACTGGGGTTCTAACTGTAACGTGTTTATTCTGATATATAAGAGTGGGTTGTTTTAAATTGATTTGTCCCGCATGTTACTAAGAAAACAAAAAATTGTGCAATACGAAACCATAAATACTGGTAAAACACTCTTTAACACATTGAGTGCGGCCGTTCCTGATCGGGTACGTTGCTCGTGCCCCGTACAGTGCGTCCATTCCCATTCGGGAACGCTCGGCAATGCCTTTTGTTAATCTTCATTTTTGCTTTAGCGTCGATCGAAAGCGGACCTATACCACGTTAGCGTGTAGTGTGTGACTTGCATTTTGTTGTGCTGTAGTTTGGTAGTAAATTTCCCAATAAGATCGCCCGTCTGGCAAGCTTAAAAATCAATATTTTGTCCCGCCTTTTTCCCTCCATTTGGCAATATAATTTCAACGGGACCGGCTACGTTCCAAGCAGTGCTGCTATCTGTGGATGTTTAGCGAAGTACATCGACATAAAGCAGGACATTCCCGCACGTTATTTGCTATTCGTCAGACCAAAATTGGAAAGCCAATCACACGCGGCAATCACATTTGTTCGCCCGCAGCGTCGCACTGAGGATACGCCTGCCATTTGACGTGCTGCAGCGAACGTGTTAAGCTGCAAGTAGCCTATTGATAAATTATCAGCATATGCTATGTGCAATATGGGTAACTTCAACTGTGTAGGTAACTGTGTATGAATAGTTAATAATTTGAATGAAGCCAACAATTGAAATCAGCTGGTTTTGTAAACAATGTTTAACACCCAGCTGATTAGATGTCAGCTGATTAAAAGATAGCAAAGAAATTAACAGATACTTTATTACATTTGGTTCAATGAATTGGTTCCGAAAACTCTGACCTTGGCGCAGTTTTGACCTAATTTTTTGAACTTTTAATACAGAAATAACCTTATGGGTTACACAATTTTAAAGGGCATGAAATGCAAACGTTTTTTTACGTAATTTGACAATAACATTGGTGTTAATAGTTGTAACACCACTTTGAAGTTGTAAAGAAGTAATTTACAAACTTCTTTATTTATGTTATACGTGAGACATACATCGGTGAAAATATGGTTGTATGTTAAAGATGTTGCAATGGTTTTGTAGGAAATTTAACGCTCTTTTTATTGGTATAAGTTAATATGCTGTACGAGTATTGGCCTAATTTCTATGCTCGTTTTAGTGAAGCTACTTCAGGTTGGCTAATTTCAAAAATTCACATAATCGGCCATTACAGCCTAACGAGTGGGTTGGAAAATGTTTGTTTGGCATTTTTGTTCCTTTTAGTGAGTAGAATAACTGGTAAAAATTAACGCACTTAGTAGAACTCACCCTGTATAAATAAAGGATATAGATATTGTAAGTAGGCCTACACATGGTCATAATTGTTTTGTAAGGCTGAATCGCTCTAATTGATCTTTAAAGACAAAGAAAAACGAAATAATCTAAATAGGAAGAGCAGTGATGTGTAAGGGTAGATGTTCAAGGGTAGAGAAATTTGCTGCTGCACACATGTAGGCGCGTAGTTGTGTCTACAGTAGCCTATCCGGGTGTTTACAATGTTTTCAGAATGGTGTGCATAATGAACCCAGGTGCTACCTTCCCGTCCGCTCAACCTTTCTCTAAGAAGGCAATAACCCCAAAACAAAACTAGCCTACAAATGATACAGACTCTTTATTGTCTTAAGGAATTTTATTTTAAGTTGTTTACTGTATAACCCCAACTTGACAATAAAAGACACTTTTTCTTAAAGTGAAAGTCTAATTTACATTCAAGCAACTTTATTTAATTCTAATAGGTTAATCCAAAGCAGGTTATTAAAAAGAGCATTTCCCAAAACACTAGAATTGCTGAGAAAACTCTGTTGATTTTCATTATACTCAAAACTTGAATGTAATATTTTTCAGTTTTAACTTAATATTTTTATCTTACTTTTAGCTATCTGGTATTACCGTACATCACAAATTTGTTAAAGCCTTAGGCCTATATCAATCTTTTCTTCTTAAAACTTCCTTTCACTAGACCACTAGTAATTATCAAATATAGGCCTTTACTTAAACTGTTGAAATACAATAATATTACTTTGAATCTCACTCTCAAGCTGATATAGTCCATGTTGTTTTGAAATTAAGTTAAATATAAAATTAAAATTGTCTACTAGATTGAAGCTATGTTTTATTGGTATATTTAATCATGTTTTTTTACAATAGGCCTGTGACACAAGTTATTATTTTACAACAAATAATGAACAAATATATGGCCCCCCTTGAACTGATAAATTCAAATCTTTGAATAAATGATTATTCATTAGTTGACTCTGCTTTGGTTCAGTCGAGTTTGCATTTTACAACCAAATCGTTCTGCAACTGCACTTTCATCACATTTGAAGGCAAAGTAGGTCATGCTGTTTCTCCAGTGTGCTAAGCTAGCTCCCAATTGAGTGATTACTATTCCATTTCTAAATTGTATTGCAATTAGGCCTATATATTATCTCTTGTTTTAAAATTTGTTTCTCCCGTTATGTTGCGTTACAATTCTCAAGATTTGCGAAATAAATGCACCAACAACCTTTTATAAACAGATTTCAAAGTTATTGTCAGTGTACAGCCAAAATTTTTTATAGAAAAAGTTTTTGTATTTTGTTTTTTATTGTATTACTTTTAATATTTGGAAACACTGACATCCTGTTCTGGACATTACCTTCTTGACCTGAACAGGACTTCCATCATGTGTTTCTTATCTGGGATTTATTTATTTGGTTCTCAGATAAAATTACATTTTCACTTAGTTGATGCCCAACAGGTTTATCCAAGAAATAAATTATCTCCTAACTATGCATTTGTCTTGACGTTTGGTTAATCATTTAATTGTAATCCAGCCATAGATGAAAATGATTGTGAAAAAATAAAAATAAATGCATTTATGTTTAATTGTTTCTCAGTCATTAACTGCTTTTCTGTACAACTAATTCAAAACTGAAATTTACCAAAGTTTTGCTGACTAGGTGTCAAGGAAGGCCATATAGAATGCTGGTCGAAATAGGAGAAACATCTGAAAATTCCTGACCTCACTATTTGGAACTGGGGGGCCTATTTGGAATGGGTTAGCTCTTACCTAGTTACTCAGGCTTCCTGAGTGCAAGGAGCTGACGAGTCAAGCAGTTACGAAAAGGTGACACATGTCACAACTCTTTAAACAGATAAACAAGCCGTACTTGCAATTTTTTTAAATAATTGAGCGACATGATTCAAAATCAAGTATCATGATTATGATCTTTTGTCATGTTTGGGAGTACTGCTCACTAAGGATTGGAGACAATTTAACAATATTGACAAGACTAAAGACTGAGCTGACATTTCACATCTATCGGTATCAAATATCTGAATCGATGTAAACCCCCTACAAAAAGATAGCTCACTGTTTAAGATGATGCCAAGACATTTAATGGCCATCGTGTGGGACTCTGCCATTGTTTAAAGGGGGTTTGTACACTATCCTTTGACACTAGATAAAACACAGTGCACTTTGTTAAGTATGCGGATGTTTTCAGCTACCAAGGTCAAAAAGTTCTGAATTTAATAGCCTATATGTTTTCTTAAGATCATAAAATTTATATTTCACCAAAACATTGTAACCCCTATTACTTATTAAAATGCACTTTAGGGTTTTCTGATCTTGTATTATTTTAGAGAATGGCAATTATCCATTCTAGACATTAAAGTCTAAAATTATTATGTTTGAAGTTCTTAATTTAATTACCTTCTTATATTCTAATTATCTCATTTTTTATTTTACCTACTGATTTTGTAAGGGTAATAACTCTCAAACTTGATAAAATAGAATCATCTTTAAAAGTATTTTTTTGTACGGAATTTTCTTTTTTAAAGAAGTTGCCTTCCTCTCTTAACCTTAAATTTGCCTGTGGAATGTATAAAGCAAAGCAAGGGTAAGCCCTATGGTTAAAGCATATATAGCAGGATGCAAACCCATGACCAAACCACCTTGGTTTCATAGTTCGTTGAGCTATTAGCTCACTAATATAATAAACATAACGTCAGTGAATATTAAAAAAAACATCCTTTCTGTCTCTTGACAAATTGAGAATCAACTGCAACAATCGGTCGTTTCAAACCCCAAGAACTTGTTTTTGACTGTAAAATGTGTATTTTCCCTAAATGTTCTAAAAATGAAATATGAATAATCTAGTCAAGATTAATCTATATAACACATTTTATCCTTATTAGTGATAGACTGACAGCTTTAGTTTTTTTTTTTATAGAAAATTCATAAAAGAAAACAATATCAACTTGATTAAATAATAAATACTCCACCGAACAAACGTTTTTTTATGGGTTGATGAAGAAATCTTGACAGCATATAAGCTGTAATGACATTAAAATAATAAATTTATTTCAAAATCACAGCTTTTTCTAATCCAACATGTGATGTTTTAGCTACAAACCAATGGTTCATCCCATCTGCAAAAGGAGACATTCCGCCAGGATGTGCAGCCTATGGGTTTGTGGTGGACAATACAAGGATTCTGGCCTTTGGAGGAATGGTGGAGTATGGCAAATACTCAAATGAACTATATGAACTACAGGTAGGTTGAAGCTCTTGGACAGAAGTTGTAGAAAATCACACTTGTCACCTATATTTTGAGACTTTATCTTACTTTAAAAAAAATTGCAGTATTGGATGTGCTTCCTTGATCAGTAAATTTTATAAAGCGAGAGCTTTTACTCATAAAACTTGATCAATGAAGATGCATATAAGAAGTTACAGAAAACAAATGCAATTTATTGTATTAATGTGGAGAAAATGTGCTAGCTCATTTTTTCTGTTTTCCTTTGCATGGGTGAAGGAAAAGGTGGAGGGTCATTATTGGTGCCAAACCCATCAGGATACATTGATGCTTTGTATGAAATATCCACAAATAAATAATGTTTCTGGTCATGTTAGCCAGTTGGCCATTGGTGAAAGTAAAGCCACTGTATAAAAGAATATAATGGATAGCAGCTAGCTTACGTTAGAAGACACATACTTGACAAAGCACCCTAGGGCCCAAAAATTATGTTTTTATCCGTCTTCTGTGTGTTCTATGCACTTCTTCTAAGGTACGTTATCTGCTATCCCTCTTATTCTACTAATAGGTTTTCACAAAAACGTCTTGAACAATTGATAAAAATTTAGTATGATAGGGCCTATGGTCCTTTTTGCTCTAAACAAAATGGTACAACCCCCAATGTTGCAAAAATTAGGGTTCAAAAGTTAATTGCAAATTTTGTGATTTTCCACAAAAAATATCATAGTTACTCCCACCCCTATCCATGATTTAAGAGTTGTTGACAAGCTAATGGGAGAAAGTATATGTCAGATTGCTGATACCGTTTATTTAGTTTTAAAATTGATTAAACAACATGCCAAATTGCAGTTATTATGAGTCCTGCAACGGACTTTGCAGTTTCAATCTTTACTTACTGTAGTAATATAATTGGTATTGCAAGTCACATTGTTATTTATTTACATACAATGATTGGTTGCAGGCAAGCCGCTGGGAATGGAGGCGTCTACGACCCAGAGCTCCCCGCAGCGGACTCCCGCCTTGTCCCCGATTGGGACACAGCTTTACGCTGATCGGTAACAAAGTTTACCTGTTTGGCGGGCTAGCAAATGACAGTGATGATCCCAAAAATAATATACCAAGGTAAGAATCTTTTATTAGTGCTTTCATGCTACTTTATTTGTAGAAAACCAGATTTTTCTAACTTAGTACATAAGTAGAGATGTATCCTATAATAGTGTAGGCTACATATTTTGTTACTAAGTTTGAGTCATTTCAGTCATTTAAGAAAAAGTGCATATAAATTAACAAGGTAAATACTTTAAAAGGGTTTACTTTAAAAATCATAAATTTTACCAAGTTTTTTAAGCTGACCTGTGACCATACCCAATATTAGAAAAATCATAAGACATTTTTTGCATTTGAAATAATATTCTTCTAAGTATTAGTATCTTAATTCAACATGAGAAACAAAAAATTAGAAATTTATTTCACATAGTACCTACAATGAAATATTTTAGATTGAAGTGTAAAATGTGATATCGGCCTATAGTACTTTGATTTTTTTAGTTTTTTTTTTATCTCAACTTGTAGGTTTTCATTCAAAATCATTGACAGACTTAAATTTATTTTTCTTTGATCGGTGTTAGTTATTTTTTGATTGGATCTGAATATTTTTTGACTGAAATCCAAAATTTGAATGGTGTACATAAGTAACATACTTGTTTCAACTACTAGAATGACTTATCCTGAACTACATTAGTGACATTTGTTTCAGATACTTGAACGACTTATATATCTTGGAGTTAAGGAACAACAACTCCACAGCCTGGGATATTCCGCAAACTGTTGGCACTTCACCTCCACCTAGAGAGTCCCACACTGCTGTCGCTTACACAGTATCCGACAATCACTCCAAGCTGATTGTATATGGAGGCATGAGTGGTTGTCGTCTCGGCGATTTGTGGATCTTAGATATTGGTGAGTAAAATCACCTACCTTATTGACAATTTTGTGAGTGTTTTTCTGTAGCCTTCTAATGTAGCATTGACGTTAATTTCAGTGAGCGGTTTTGTGCAGAAAATGAAAAGTGAAATATTAATGTAGTGCACGTCAGAATATTGAAAATATTTTCATTTTTTAAAAATGATTTCATTAGTTCATATATACTAAAAAGTTTGTTTTTTCAGAGTTAAGTTACTCTGTTTCTACTATGTGAATGCTCTCTAAAATTTTCATATCTGCAGAATGCATCTATTTAGTCACTTATATTTACCACTGAGCATAAAGTGACTTTTTAAGTTCTGTTTGTGTTAAATAACTTTTATATCAATTTATTGTTTAGCATAGTTTTTAAACATTATTCCCTAGTTTCAACTGTAACTAAAAAACCACCACATGTTTATAAATGAGGTTTTTCACACTCTTCAAGTTTTGTAATGCAGATAAACCACGATTAACCAAAATAATTTCTTTCCGATTAGACATTCCTTTTTTGTTTGTCAATGGTAGAAATTTAAAATCTATACCTAGTCAAAGAAAATTTTATAGATCATTAGACATAATACGGCTTCTATTTTGTTTGCAACTATCGTCACACCTCTTTACTACAGTTTAAACTAAGTTGTGTTTTAGCAGTTAGTGTTTCCTTTGATTGTTCGTACCACATGAAAATGAGGAGGCATTGTCCGCATTCTTTGGGATTTTGAACATGGTGAAATTATGGACACTATTTTTTTTTAATACACTATGTTCCCAAAAGATTACAGTTCTATTTAATATATTAGCCAAACTGATACTTTTCAACTTATGGTGTTATACCTGTATTGGTTGTATCAGCCACATTTTAATGTTTTGTTTTACTCATAATTATTTTTACCAAGTTTGTTCATCTGAATAGATATTGAGGACTAAAATTTAAACAATGACTTTTTATGAAACCTGTTTTTATGAAGCATCAATTTTGTCATCACTAGTATCTAAGGGGACATTTCAATTTTTACTCCACTTATTTATATGCCTTAAGTGTTTAAAGAAATTTAGGTTGGTAAACCTGTGTAAGCTCATTCTATATTAGGAGAAGTAAATAAAAATACATTAATAACACTTAAACTTAAAACATATATTTACACTTATACTGTAAACTCACACTACAGTAAAATATATATAAAAGTAAGTAAATTTGTGATCAATTTCCATTGGACTCTCCAATCATCATCAGATCCAATAGGAGTCATTCGCTTAACCTAACTCAAACTCTGAGAACCTTTGCTTGCACATTGTAAAATTTTATTTTCTTTGATTTTCAGTTAGGCCTACTGGTTAGTTATAAAACGTATTTAAAATAATACATATTTGAAATTTAAAGTTTCTATAATATTAATTAAGAGAATCTTCTCTAAATGTTACAGAAGTGGGATTGCATACATCCTCTTGAGCCTCATCGATAATCTAAATTCATATTTTCATTAGCCTAACCCTTTGATTGCCTTTTAACGATATATCGTTAAACTAAAATCATATTTTGTCCCTCCAGTAAAGTAAGGAACATTACTTTCTTATTTAACGCTGGTGACATACCAAGTTATACTAAGTGACATACAGAAGAGTTTGACTAAACTCTTCTGTACCAAGCATCTTCAAATCAGCAACACTTACAGTACATATTTTAACATGATTATTAAAACCTAGGAAGTGGAAAGTCTGTTATTAATTGGCCTGATTTAAAAACGATTTACAAATCTGGATACTAATGTTCCTCTACATAAACTTTTAGACATTGTCCTATTAATGTCGTTGCCATCTTATATAATAATATAAGCTCTATAATCTACTTTAGTCAACAATTCCAATACTTGCAAAGTAAGTTTGTGTGGTTGGGTTAGGTTAGGTTAGTTTAGGTTAAATCTTTGCAAAGAAATAAACTTACCACTTGTTTGATATTTACAATGATATCATAAACATTTGAATGGTTGTGGACGATTTTGTTAGTATACCGCGCTATGCCTACTGACCACGCCGAGTAGCAGGGTAGCGACCTCCTTCAGTTGTGACGTAGCGCCTGAAGTGGTGAGGGAGCAGCTTTGCCTGTATTATTGCGGCCTTGGTTTGTCTAAACACTCACAACCAAGGATTATGAACACCTCACTATGCCCTAGTGGTAATAGTATATCGCTGCTTGGAGACTATGGGTTAAAAACCGGTATTTAAGCTGACTTCATCAATTGCTAACAGAGAGCGCTAGTGAGACGCTAGCAAACAATTGTGTTGTTCAATGCGTTGCTAGGTAGCAGCACTAATTAGACAACACTTTTGAAGTCTTAGTTAGTTAGTCTCTTATGTCTTATATGTTTTGAAGATGTTTTTCAGTTGAACCACAACAGTGATCATGGATAGTGTTACTATCTTATACTATCTTATCTAGCTACATCAAGGCTTAATTAAATATTACATTGTAAACAAGATGGTTTTCGATTTTATAAGCCTTAGGTTTGACTTATTATTCCAAATGAGTCTAATAGTGAGAATAACACAGTTACAACTCAACAACAGGTAATGTAGTCAAAAGTTAAAAAAGGCTTACAAAATAGGAAATATTAGCCTAACACTAAAATGGTTAAAATACATCATGTACTGTTTTTCCTGGTCCATTTTCTTCTTTTTTTTCTCTCCTTTCCTACTTTGAATATTTTACAGTGGTGTTTGTTCTACTTCTTAGCTAAATTTGCCTATTTTTAGCCAATGGAGGTCCCTAATTATCATTTTCACCCCTCAGTAATGTTGTTTTCTGTTACTTTGGGCCCTTTGATGTGGTCTCCTTTTAGACTTTTACCTCCAAATCTGAAAGTGCTTAAGTTGGTAAATAATCAGGGCTAGGAGATTAAGTATTCTTATTGAAATGCTCTTTTGTTACAGAGTCGATGTCATGGGTGAAACCTATTGTACATGGCAATGCCCCACTGCCCAGATCTTTACACACCGCCACCATGATTGGCAGTCGTATGTTTGTGTTTGGAGGATGGGTGCCTTTGGTAATGGATGACGTAAAAGTTGCCACCAATGAAAAAGAATGGAAGTGCACAAATCAGCTGGCATGTCTTAACTTGGGTAAATATATTATTAAGTTATATTTTTTTATCTCTCATTTTAGGCTTTTAAGCCTGGACTGTGAAGTCACTGGAAAACTAAGTTAATTGTAAAAAAAAAAACTTTTAACTCTAATAGAGGTGTGCGAAGCAGCAAAAGTTTTTCAATTCAAAGCAACAATTTGATTCAAAGATTTTCTATTTGATTCAATACAACTCGATTCGGAGCAATCCGGCATTTTTATATATCATATCATAGAAGAACCTGTATTGCTGGAAATGTCAGTCAGCTGCTTTACTTGCCTATTTCATAATTTTTACTTGCGGAATCATTTGCGTGTTACCTATTTTATAATGTTGATTTTACAAATAAGATATAATTTTGTGTAAACAAATAAAAACATTTGTAAGATTTATACTGGAACTTTCAATTGGTTTACATTAATAAAATGATAGGATAGGATCAAACCTAAAAAAATACCAAATTTACCAGTCTAAAACATCAATTTTACTAGTTAAGTATTAGGTAACAGTTTTTCAGACTTGTATTATTTTTAGAATGATTTTGGAGTTGCCTATCTAGTTTTAACATGTCTCACACTGCTTACATCAAGACAAAAAAAAAAACAGAACCTCTCTCCATTTGCATTGTCAACAAAAATAATATATAAACCCATTAAAGCAATATTTACATGCAAAGAATTAATGAAATAAGAACGCCTTCGTAAAGGAAACACAACATCAACACTATCCTGTATTGCGGGTATTGCATTGACCTTCTGCAGGCGTTTTTTGTATATGGATACTGACTCCCTCATGACTCAAATAGTTTTTGACCACCACTGAATCAAATTTCGATGCATCGCACACCCCTAAATTCTAATATTAAAATATAACCCCAGGAAATTTTAATTTAAGACTACTTAAGATAAGTTAATTGGGCTGTTTTTGGGCAGCAGTTTGTCTCAAGACAAACATAAAAAAATTTGAAATGAAATAAATCTCTGTTTCATTTGAAAATGTCTCAGTCATGTAATATTAGAAGTCCCAAAATGAATTCTTGTAATGTATTCCTTCAAAGTGGAACACAAAATAAATATTTTCCACAAATCGGCTTTCAGAATACCTAATAGACCTGTCCCTAGATACTCTCTGGATGACTTTTAAAAACATCTTAGTTTCAATTTAGACAAGGCGAATAATGTATAAATATGCTTGACTATTGACTATAACTTGGTTTTATTTTGGCAGATACAATGACCTGGGAGGAACTAGCTATGGAGACTGCCGAAGAAAACATTCCACGAGCCCGAGCCGGCCACTGCGCTGTTGGTGTGCATTGCCGTGTATACGTTTGGTCAGGAAGAGACGGCTACAGGAAAGCCTGGAATAACCAGGTTAGTCATGTGTGGCTTTTGGCGAGTACTTGAATATCGAGTAATTACTTAACTTCTCATAAATACAGTAGACTACAATTATCCACAATAATGAGTAGCTCAGTGATGGTGGATAATGCAAACCTAACCAAAAATGCCCAGGAAATAACCAACACTGACTTTGAAAGTTAAGCTTTAATACAGGTTTAGGTAATACCGTAAAACCTCTCCAACTCAACAATTTGTCGATCCAGACTGGAGTTTGGGGGTTGTCGATCAGTTATCCAGAAGATTAAATTTTTTTAATGGTTTTAATAAAGGAATACATCTAGGCCTAACAGACTAATTTGTACATATAAATTTATTACTTACCTACATATTGAGAAAACAATATTCTAAGTAATCAAATAGGCATATAACAATTAAAACTTGAAAAGTCAAATACAGTAGTAAAACATAGCCACCAGCTAGATCTTAGTGACACAATAGGCCTACAAAATAATACAAGTGCAGAAAGGCACGTTGCCCATATGAGCTGTGTCCATATTTTGTTAAATTAATAGTAGTTTACAGCAACTGGATAACACATTTTACAATATTTATGTAGAAATATGTGCATGATTTAGAAAGTCATTAAGCTGGAAAACTGTAATTTACTGCAGACTTTTCAGAGAAGTTACTTCGATGTAGTTATTCAGCTTAGTGAAAACATAATAGATGAATTAGCGTAAGCCTCGAAAGTAACCGTCGATTTCAACAGGTTTCACCTAGTTCTTTATAAAGTACAATTCATACATAAGAACAGGTGTTTCGTAATAGTGATGTATTTTAAAATAAAACTAGTTGCTCTGCCCGTGCTTCGCTACGGGGTGAGAATGCAGAAAATAATAATTTTGTTTTACTATAAGATACTATAATATACTCTAAGAAACAGTTACAACAAACTTACCAGGAAACATATAGGCAAAGGCTCAATCGTGCTTATTGATTATTTAAACGAAGATCTCTTAATGTATTACTATCACTTTGTATAGTGTATTGCATTTAAAATACATGCAAAATAAAAATTCATTGACCACATGGCACCAAGAAACAATACTCCTTGTAAACAAAATTAAATTAAATAGCAGAACAGCATTTCTGACAACAGCTGGAGTTTCATAACAATTTCTGTTTCCCATGTTAATCTTATGGAGAAATACTAAACTTTAAAGGGCCCTAGGGCCTCACTCTCTAATTATTTCCCTAAAAAGAAAGTTTCCTGCACAACTTCAAGTTGCACTCTTTCCAATGACACCAAAAACATGTCAATCGGTGCAGTAGTTTCGGAGGAGTAATTGTCACAAAAAAACCTGCTTGCGTATTAAATAAGTATAGATTAATACCTAGTTAAAATAATTAAAATAAACTCCATTTTCAAAACTATCTGTGTCCATGTACAAGACTATTTATTTCCATATCCAAAACTATCCGTGTCCCTGTACAAGACTAAAAATCTGATCTTAATTTTTTTTTTTTTTAGACAAAACGTTCTTTATAAAGTACAATTCATACATAAGAATAGGTGATTCGTCATAGTGATGTATTTTAAAATAAAATTAATAGTTAAATAATTTAAATAAACTTTATATACAAGACTATCTGTGTCCATATACCATAAAATCAAATAAATTTTTATTAAAAACACACAAATCGTACATGAATTCGTCGATAAAAAATTGAAAACGAAACATGTCTAACATAATGTTTTATGAAAATTATAAAATTGATGGTCATAAGATGTTTTTTTTTTAATTTGTTCTCATTAATTCCGTGTCCATATATACAAGACTATCTGTGTCCATACAGGGTGAATAAAAAGACAACCCCCCCCCTCCCCATCTAATATTTTTCCAAGTAAATATACAGAGATAGAGATACGCTTTTGGTGGTTGTGCAAACTTAGCAGGAAGTTTTATTTTTATGATTTTGAAAATTTGTAGTTTCCCCCAAAAATGAGGGATTCTGTATCCATAGCCTATATGTTATTGACGTTGACATATACTGTGACATTGCCTAGCCATATAATTTATAGACGTCAACTTATTCTGTGACATTGCCTAGCCATATAATTTATAGACGTCAACTTATTCTGTGACATTGCCTAGCCGTATAAGCTGTATTATTCCATATCTTCTTACATCAACCTTTAAACATTACCAATTTAGTTTAATTTTAAACAGTATGATCTAAATTGGATTTCTGTAAATATTAGGTTTTTTTTTAAAACCCGTTTTTATGAGAGTAGCCTACGTATCTGGATCCGTAGCTGCATTCGTAACTGCCGAAATTGGTGATTTTGAGTTAGGAGTGGTTTCTAAGTAACGTTTGCCTACTCAACACAATTTACATACTGTCGTATCTCTATTTCTTACCATTCTTATGATATTGTATGTTTAAAAGTGTCGTAACTGCCAATTTTATAATGCAAAAAGAAACATACTGGCGTGTCTATACTACGCCACTATGCCCTAGCTTACTCTACTTACGTAAATTACTAGCTCCTTTTTGTTGTTGTTGGAGACATACTCTCGTATCTGCTTTAAAATTCTATAGAGAATAAGAAAAAAGATTTTATTTAGTTTTTGAAGCCTGTACTGTATTAGTTATGCTTTTAAGTATAATAGGTAAATATTTCATGACTGCAGGTGGCTTTTATACATAATTGAAGAGCAAAATGTAAGTAAATTTCTTTTACTTGCTCTCCTGAAAAGTTGCCATTTTGCAGTTACGACACTATCTCTCTTAGACAACGACCTGTATCAAGCCTTCAAATCAACATCTTTTTACATGCCACCAACCCCTTGAATGGATTGGCGTACATTGGTTAGCATATCTATAACATTACACACATCTGTGGAAATACAATTAACCGAAGACTTTTCCCTTATACAGGTCTGCTGCAAAGATCTATGGTATTTGGAGGTCGAGAAACCATATCAGACCGGCAGAGTGCAGCTTGTAAGAGCCTCTACAAATAGCTTGGAAGTACTCTGGACTGGAGTACCAACTGCAGAGCATTACATACTTCAGGTAATTGCTACTTCCAAGCAGTTGCACTTAATGTGATGTAAACAAAACAATGTTGTTGCAAACTTCAAATTTGCCACACGAAAAATACTTATTATTTACATGCTTTTAATTTTCTTAATAATATAATGAATACCTACTTCATTGTTAAACATAAACTTAAATTACGTTTATTTAAGACATTATACATGGAAGATAATTTGTGATGCGTCGGTACCAAAAGTGATTGATTTTTCGATACCAATACCTGAAAAGTTGATTCTTGATACCGATACCATTTTTTGCCTAGTTTTACCAAATTATCTGAATGGATTAGTTAGACCACACCAACCCCTTTATTTATGTCCTTTTTACGTCTTTATTTAGTTTTTTTTTTATCACTCGTTACTAATAGGCAATCAAAACAAAATAACTATTAACATAAAACTAAATCTATGAACAAGCATGACAGGTAACAAATTTATGAAGTTAAATACTGTACAACTAAACATTTACCAACCCTATAAAAGATCTATTTGGCTGACAGTGTTGCCAACAAGACAACACTTGTTACCAACTGTAAATGTACAGCACAAAATATACCTAATTTGCACAAACTGCAGACTAAGAAAATTTTAAATTGCCTGATTGAATTTTCACTTAAATAATTCCTTAAATACGTCGGCGCCTATTGACTGCAGTTTTCAGTCACCCCCTGCCAATGAACCTACAGTTGGACTAGTGGCACCCGTCTGGGTAGCTTGGCCGTCCCTAAGCACGGGGAAATCCATTCACCAAAATTAACGTCTCCCGCGGTCACGGAATCATCATCGTCGCCCGCGATCGCGGCAAAATCACGAACCTGTTTCATGGTCTTGTAGGCGTTATCTGGTCATTTTCTGCGGACATGCAGACATCATCATCGTCCTTCGCGGTCAACGCAAAATACCAAGTACGTTAATGGAAACATCATATTCAACTTCTGTGATCGTGGCAATTTCATTCACATTTTTTGGCAGTGTAGACATTATTATTATAGTCTTCCGCAGTTACGGTAAAATTCTAATTTTTTCCTGCGGCCGTGTTGACACAGTCATCGACTCCCATGGTCATGGAAACGTCGTTGTTGTCTTCCACGATCACGGTAAAATCAAGATCATCTCCGGCGGTCGTGTAGATATTATCGTCTTCTTCCGTGATTGGGACAAAATTCTGATCATCTGCCAAGGCCATGTATTCAGCATTATCGTCCGCCGCGGTCACAGAAACACCATCGTTGTATTACGCAATCATAGCAATAGTGGTAATTTTCCAACCGCGCAATCTTCACAGAAGTGTTGGGTAGCAGTATCAGAATTGGCTTTTCACAATCGAATTGGTATCAAGAATCAATATCGAGAATTTACATATCTCTAAAGATAATTTAATGTGCATATGGCCCATTTCCTGTGATTATTACTCAAATAAAATAATCAACCTAAATTTGTTTCGTTTAATTGACAACTGAAGACAAACTATATTTTATTTAGATCAAACATTAAGGTTGGTTTTCCTTGCTGCGGAATTTGGCCTACAAACACAGTTGCAGAATTGTGAATGTCATGTGAGTCTTTTATTGCCTGCGTTTTTGGCAAGCGCATATTCCTAGAATTGAGATATTCCTGCGGTTTTATCTTTCAAAACTTAAAGTAACTGAATTAAAATTAATGAACGTAAAATTAATGAACTAATTAAAATTGTTGCCACAAAGTCACTGTCATGACGCAGAACAGTTACAATTATTAACTACTGCATGATAAACTATACCAAAAATAGTACAGGAGCTAGTATATGTTGTGGGTGGGGCGGGATGGACAGCTCTTTGGCCAGTAGCCACACCTGCTGAACCTGTACCTGACCCTTGTGTTTTAAGTTGGTGCCTCAAACGCAGCCATATCCAGCAAACAAATTGAACAGCAAGGATAACCAGCCTTTATCTAGATTTGTGACAGATCTTCTGAAAGCTAGTACTAATGTTAGTATAATTGTGTTGTAGATCCAGAAGTATGATATCCCACCAGCCACCCCCAGTCTACAGGCCAGCTCAACTCCTGCATTATCCCCTGTACCTCCAGTGCCCATGTTATCTCCTCCTCATGCTCCAGTTGAGACCCCCAGTCCATCCCCCGCTCCCACTGCTGTTCTCCCCGTTTCCCCCACTCCCCCTCGCAGGTCTATACTCCAGGTCAGTCCAGTTAAGGCTCAGCCTTCTCCGGCTCCTGAGTTGCCACGTTTGGTGGTGCCTCAACAAGCGACTAGTGGTGAGTAATTATGGGTGTTCTCATTTTTACAATTCAGGTTCACAAGTTTGAATTGAGTTTATAAAAATGTCAATTCAATAATTTAAGACCAGCAACCACAGAATGAAAATAGACTGGCTATGCCATAAGCCTTTACGGGAATTGAAGCCATGTCGGCCATCTTGGATAGGTGTAGAAACGTCAAGCGGGCTTAGAGAAGTGTAAAATGTTTAAAAGTGCTCCCTTTTCATTTACACTGTTTTTTTATTACCTTAAAATGCTCAAAATGCTTTGTAACTTTACATACTTGCTATAGATTAGTATAGGATGCTAATGGTATGTCTATAATCAGAAAATTAAAATATAAAAATTAAATAAAGTTCAAGTTGTTTTATACATTTTAATTGGTGACATCATAAAGTTTCATGGCGAGGAAGTTTTTTGTTTTTAAGGCAGGTGCGTTATGTAAGCGAGAGAAATGTTGCCTAAATACATTCTAACTAATTAAAAAAAAACCCCTACCTATTGTAGTTTTGATAATACAACACGTATAACACAAGCTTCGTAATAGAATATATAGTTATGCCACAATAGCAAATACATCAAATTCACAAAACAAACATCAAACATTGTAACAACAACGAGCTTCATACAACCTCAAATATAATAATCAAAAACAATAATATCAATTACTCTTAATAATTTTGTATCCGTAAATAAACATTGTACCTTAAGTTAATTTCATGTCATGTCTAAGTCTAATGGTACCTCGAACAAATATCTCGGTCACTTCAATTCACTCTCTCATAAAAGTAATTGCTTTTGTAAGGTAGTCTGATTTTATGTCTGTAAAGTGTTTCATTGTGAATTTTTGTGTAGTGATGTATTCTGACTGTGAAGAATTTCTTACAAATTACCTTGGTTAACAATAAAAAATTATTATCAATAGGATCCTGATCCAAAAAATGATCATTTGGAAACAGGTTAAGGCCAATGCATTGTTTTAAACCTGTTGAGACCTACTACAAGGGTGTCCACATTCTGGAAAGTCAGGGATAGTCATGGAAAAAAATTCTGGTCATTGAAAGTCATGGAAATAGGCAAAAAGTCATGGAAAGTCATGGAAATCCCCAATGATGGATGGATTTCAGGGGTCCTTTCAATGATCTAGTCGGCCGTAACCCCGACTATTGTAGCATTTTTCTGAATTTTTCATAAATGTACTACAATTCAATTTATACAGTTGTCTTAGTTTATAGGTTTTGAGTTTGTATTTAGTTCATTGTTGTACCTGTTGTATGCCATTGTTATCTGTTAATGCATATTTTAGTATTTTCTGTCTAGGCAGTATTATTCAAGTGTTTACGGTATATTATAATTTTCGAGTAAAGTTCGTGAGTCATGGAAATCAATGGTTAATGGTCATGGATAGTCATGGAAAGTCAGGAAAATTAATGACAAAATTTCTGTGGACACCCTGTACTAAAAACTACATTCTTAGTAATAACTGTGAGATGACTGACAGTAGCCGGAAGCTGTATAGTCCACTTGCGCTACCTGGAGTCACACGCGCTCCGTACTTGAGTGACTCATCACTGCGGTCGCCATGTTGGATGGTTGCGATGCGTTGCGACAGGCTTCACTCTACCGTTTGGCATGCCCGGTCCATTATAATTCTGTGGTCGCTGTTTAAGACAGCGACGGTCACATTGAATAATAATATGTTTACTGTCACAAAGCATACATATTTGTGCAAAACAAGTATTGGCACATCGTCATTTCTTATCACTATAAAAATATTCTCTATACCCTTCTCTAAGCTGATATTTGGTTATGTTAATATTAAAAGCAGTCACTAAACAATAAATTGGTACAAACAGGGTTGGTACCATCAGGGAAAACCTGGAAAAGTCTGGGAATTATGGAAAAATTCTGGAATTTCTCCTGAAAGACTACCTTTTTACAGATATGATACATTTTGTTCTAAACATATTTTTGTGAGGGTGATGACTAATGGCAAACAGAGCGACATAAGCACAGATGCACATTTTCATATCGATAGTTATCGGTATGGGGGTGGAATCGATATGTATACAGTTGTAAACAAGTATTGTATTTGGGAGTGATTAAATAAGTATAATATATATATTTTTTATTTTTTCTAATATCTGATTAGTCGATATCGACTTACGGTATATCTGAAAAAGTATAATATCAGTTTGGAAAACCTGGAAAAGTCAGGGAATTTTATTTTCCCAATTTAGTACCAACCCTGAACAAACAATAAAATACAAAGTTTAAAAAGCAGTAAATATCACAATGCATGTAGTTGATTATGCTATTGATTAGAAATAGAACATTATTTAAGGGTCAACATCACATACAAAGTCGCTAATTTTGCTATAGACCATCTTATCAACAAGTACTTCACTTTCTCTGAACTGCATTTTACTCAAAGATGCCTTTTTCATTTCAAAAGGTTGTTTGTACAATTGTATACCAATGTAATAAATTCCTTTCTCTAGCTCAGTGGTTGTGCGGTGAGGGTAAACAAATTATAAAAAGTATTTAAACAATTCTAATTCACCCATAGACATTTTATGTAAGTTTAAAACAGTCAGTAAAAAGTTTTCCTGATAATTTTAAGAGTTTACTTTTGATTTGTTGCGCATTATTCTGTGTTATTAACAGACCCTTATTGATACAATACAGTAATAACAGTGATACAAGCTTTTGCTCACTGCTATTTAGACAAAGTTTGACACATCAATGTTTAAACACAACCTCTCAGCAAGGTAGAAATCAGCATTTACATTTCTTAACACCATAAATTACACCTCTTGAACACATAGAACTTAAAGGTTATTCATTGCCAACGTCAGAAAGTGTAGCAATCCTAAGCATAAATATATTGACAGATAACACCAGCGTGTTGGGACTAGCAGACAGTGAAGGGGTGGCTGCAGTAGCAGCAGCTGCAGCTAGTATCCAGCCAGTCCCTGCACCTACAACACCACCACAACCACAGCCTGTGGTGGCTACGGTGGCTCCTACAGCTAGTACTCCCACCACACCTGTGACACTCAGTCCGCAGAGCCCCATGACTGGAATACACGCGTTGGCTGCAGCGGCCTCTGCCACTCAGAAAATCAAGGTAAACAAACCCATGTTACCAAATCAGAGCTTACACTGCTTGTGACACATGCCTGAGACATCATCTGTGTAACGGACATCAGGTTTTGAGTTCATTGCCCGGGACCTTGAATATGATACTTGTAGACTCGTCGGTGCCATTCTACATGTCTCATTGTATTAGAAAATTGTAATATTTGATTTACCTCGGATTAATATAATGGTTTTGAATGGGCCTAATACGAATTTTAAAGATATGAGCTTGAATGAAATTTAAGAATTTAATTAAAATATAAATATGTTTACAATATATTTACAAAGCTATTTGAACAAAACAGATCCCACTCTATTCTATAGTAGAACGATATTTAAGAATATTCTCAAGTTTAAATAAATCGATCTCTGTTAATTATTCAATTAAATTTAAGACTAAACTTCCCGCGGACGTTTTACTTAAATAGCATAATTGATTAACAGTGAATGGACAGTAGGCGCAATAAAAGCGTTAGCGAGTGAGGTCTAGTCATCCCAGGCGTCCTGGGTACAACAGCGGCGAATGTCGGTCACTTACTTGGCGTGAAAGAGAGTATAGAGTTTTGTGTCCTTCTGCCCAATTGCTCAAGCGACTCCCGACTGCCGACTCGGCGACCGTGGCGGTCGTGGCGCACACTCAGCGCTGTGACCAGGGGTCCCTGCGCAGGCGCGGGTAATTGATGAGCAGTCCGGTGGGGCGGTGTTAAACCACAAGATCAGCTGTTTCTGAACTTGTATCATCTGCTAATATGATATGTTTACATTATGGGACTTAGCTTCGGCGAATCGGCGAGGCAATTCTGCTAGTAAGGGTTTAGTTTGATTATAAATATTAACAAATTTTATAAACCCTTAAAATTTTATACAAAAGCTCTGCCCTAGAAAAAGCTCTTAGTTTTAGCTTTTTCACGGCTGGATTGAAAGTATCATGTTTGCACACCTTTACTCAATTTGCTATCTATTAGATAAAAACTGAAATAAACTGTCACATACGATCATACTGTAAATTATGTTTGGTTCATTATGTAACCTCGTTTTGTTGTGTCAAGTGGATTGGATAAAACCTGTAGGCTATAAAATGTAGTTTATTTTGACAGTGTGTGCCCAAATTTATTATTTCAAACCGCTGTGTAATTCTATCAGATGACTCCGACACCTGCTACCTCTACTCAGCAGATTGGTACTCCGATGCGCATCGTACAGTCTCCACGTATGCTCAGTCAGCCGATACGCATAATTCAGCAACCTCGTGAGCTCACACCTATAACAGTGTCGGGAGGTCAACAAGTACGCATCCAGACACCTGGTGGGACCGTACTCAAGGCCGCTAACCCCCAGACTGGTAAACAACAACAGATTATTGTTCAGAAGCCCGGAGGAGTTCCAGGATCACCGCAGATCGTCACTTTGGTCAAAACCAGCCAAGGCATGACTGTTGCCACTGTGAGTAAAACTGCTTTACTATAACTAGTTTACTATTCTTTTTTAATCCACTCCATCTTGATTAGCCAAAAAGCGATGCATTAAGACTCCGTCACCAAGTCCTGATGTTAAAAATTACAACACACATGAAATTGCTCTGCTTCTGCTATCTTCCTGATTAACCTTTTATGTTAGTATACTTTTTTCAAATAGATGTAATAATCATAAACTTTCATGTTGATTTCTCTTCTGATTATTTTACGATATTTTAACATTAACTACTTTGCAAATTCTTGTCTATTTCACTGATCAATTATAATCCAAACTTAATTCCTAAAATCTGATCTCAAATATTTTTCTTAACGTGAAATGAATTCTAATGATGAAAAAGTTTAATAGTTTGTTAGTAATAAATAGGGTAATGTGGAATTAATGTCGAATAGGATAACTAAAACTTTTTAAAATATTAAAAAATGTATATTGACTGCACTGGACTTAAAAAAAGCTATCACAGTTAATCTTGGAAAATTTATTATTGCAGGTCCCCAAGGTGAGCCTGATTCAGGGGAAACCAGGGACCACCATCTCAGCCGGAGGGAAAGGTATCCCTCAAGGAGCAACGATCGTAAAACTAGTCAGTGCCCAAGGTGGCCAAGGTAAACTAATGAACACTCATGTTTAACATATGAGATAAATGGAAAATCTAACTCAACTTCAAGGCCTTGAAACTCGAGTTATCTTTGAACTCGGCAGTTTCGAGTTAAGTTTGGTTTAGAATTGTAAAAACTCAATATTTGTTTATATTTTATTTGTGTTTTCATAAAATGCTGAATAATTGGTATTACTGTAGATTCTACAGTAATACAAATACTTCTACAATGTAGAAATAAGCAAGAGGTAGTTGTTTTCACCTATTTTTATAGCTGTCACAATAAATCAAGTCAACTCAAAGCAGTCGCCCATAGTGACTTGACACAGAATTACATGATCAGTAGAGATTTGGTTTTACAGTAGAAAATTCCACTACTGTACTGTCGTAAGCAATAGATTTATGTTTAAAGAAGTCAGAATACAAACACTAGAAAGGCAAAACAATAGAATGGTGGGAGAGGTTGGACAATGACCTCGAAAGGAGGCAAGTAGATGGTTGGTGGGAGGGGGTGGGTGAGACCTTGGAGCTATATTTAGACTAGATTTACACCACTTCCCAAATGGCTGGGCAAGGGGATTACAATTGCAGGGGTTTCCCTTGCTTGGTTTGACTTTTATATTTTTGCGTAGGAGCTTTGAATATAAAATAATATAATAATTGAATAAAAATATAATTTGAATTGACCACAATTATTTAGCATTGATAATTCAATATGCATGGGACCAGGAGAAATATTATTCGAATTAGAATTAATGCCATGATTTGCATTTTTACATCAAAATACAACATCGCGCAATCATTATATTTTAGTTCATTGACCTTTGCATCCATAGATTTACTCATAACAACACGGGCAATGGACCAATGAAGTTCTAGGATTGAGAGAGAAGAAGTAAAATTGTAATGATTCAAACTTCAACTAATCAGCTGTTGAGGCCAATTTAATTGTTGAGTGGTTGGTTAGTGGTTGGTACAATGTTTCGTTGCATCACTATCTGTGGCAATGATAGGTTTTAAAAGAAAACATAACCTCTCTTAGAAGTTATGAGTAGTGATTTTTTGTTATTAAAACATTGTTGTAGGTAAAGTAGTGTACGCAACTCGCGTAAATAGTGTTTACGACACTCGTAGAAGATTTTAGAAGTTCTACTCGTGTCGTTAACACTATCTTTGTACAATCATTGCGTAAACTACTATTTATTTATTGATTTTATATGTAATGACCTATACAACCTGAGTTGAGCTGTTATGTTGTAGCAAGTGGAGGTAAGGTGTTGACCGCCATGAAGACTGTGCCTTCCAACATGATGGCAGTAAACAAGAACCCACCTAATAAGCAACAGACTATCGTGATTACCAAGCCCCAGGGAGCTGGACGTCCAGCCACACAACAGATCATAGTTGTAACTACTGCATCTGGATTGCGCACAGTCCAGGCCCTATCCACCTCTCAGGCTGGTCAAGGTATAGAGCCACTTGCTATTTTATTATTGACACTGTTTTTAATGAATCTGTGAACATTAACTAGAGTTGGTCTGTATTTCATGTAGATAATAAGTGGTGTGTCGATACCCAAATTTATTGATTCTTGATACCGATACCTGAAAAATCTATTCTCGATACCAATACAATTTTTTGTATTGTTTTAACAAAATTTCTGAATGGTTTTGTTACACTACAACAACCCCTGTCTTTATGTCCCTTCATTATAAGTATTTTTTAGGTAGTGGGGTGTTTTTAAAGTAAAGAAAAAATGTATGCAGCAATCAATGATACATTCCAACTAGCCGATTTAAGTTTAAACCCTTCTAAAACACAATAAAAAAACTACCATATTAAAGATAAATGAATATCTAACAATAAAAATCAAAAAGAAAATTATATTATAGAGGTGTGCTAGCCTGACATTTTCAGTCAAGCCAAACTCTAGGTAATATCGTGATCATTGCCAGCTGTCGTGGAGATATCATCTTCCTCTTCTGGGATCACTGCAAAATCCGAAATATCTTCCTCAATTACGGAAACATCATCACTGTCCTTTGCAGTCACGGAAAAATCATGCACATCTCCCGCAGTCGTGGAAACGTCATTGTCATCTTGCGTGATCGTGGCAAAGTTATTTAGCATCATCCGTGGCCCTGTAGACATCATCATTGACTCCCGCGGAAACGTCATCGGGTTTGTCCGCGATCGTAGCAAAATCATGAACATCTTCCGCGCCTGTGTAGACATAACTATCATCTTCCGCGATCTTGGCAAACTCATGAACATTTCTTGCGGCTGCTCAGACATCATTGACTCCCGCGGTCATGGAAACGTCATCTTCATCGTCCGCGATCGCTGAAAAATCATGAACATCATCCGCAGCCGTGTAGACATCATCATCGTCGTCTTTTGTGGTCACGGAAATGTGATCGTCTTCTTCCGCGATCACGGCAAAATCATGAAAATCTTCATCGGCCATGTAGACATCATCATTGACTCCTGTGGTCACGGAAACTTCATCATCGTCGTCGTCTTGCGTGTTTGTGGCAATAGCAGTAATTTTACATCACGCGGGCGTGACGTTATCTTTTTGGAATTGACTTTTGACGACCCATTCTTGATACCAATACCAATACCAATGGCCAAGTATTGGTGGAATCGAGAATCGGTATTGAGAATCAACACATCCCTATAAATAATAATAATACTATTATTGAATTGTCACGTCTTACCATGGTAATAGATAACTGAGATTATCCTATTTTATTTTTGTAACATCTTCTTAACTGTTTGAACGAACAAATGGAATAACTATTTTGCTGATCGCGTCTTCCTATTAATAGCGAGCAGCACAAAATAATAGTAAACTGGTAATAGATAACTGAGAATACCTTGTAAATTTTTTTTATAACATTGTTTCAACTGTTGTAGTGTGTTGATTGTGTCTTGCTTATTAACAGCGATCATCACAAAAAAATATAGTACTGTGGTAAAAGATTACTGAGATTATTTTCGTAATATCATCTGAACTGTTTGAATGAGCAAGTGAAATAACGCTGAACCTATAATAGTGACTGACTAAAACGTACTGGAAAAGTAGGTGACAAAGATAACAGTGTTATTTCACCTATTACTGGAAAGTTAAGGAATGTTCCTGACTATTATTGCAAAGTAACGGCATTTCCTATCTCTAATACTAACACTTTAAAGGTAGTTAGCATTAAATATCTAGGTATAAAGTTTTCTAACCTGAATTCAGGATATTAGTAAATCCGTATGAAAAACTAATTTGAAATCAGTAATATAAAATGCTTGAACGTTTCTAATTCATGGCAAATTTATATTAAAATACTGGTTTGTTGAGGGAATATGCAGTTGAACCGATATTAATTTTACAGGCACAGTTCCTACATCAACTGTGTCCATGCTGCCTGTGTCTGGATCGGTTGGTACTGGAGGCATGCGAATGGTAATGGTGTCATCTACAAACACCACCTCGGCAATTGGTAAACCCATCACAATCACGATGCCGTCAGGCCAGGGTGGCCTGCCCAAGACAGTAACCATCACGGGAAAACCAGGAGCTTCTCAGTTGCTCACTCAGTCCTCTGGTGCTTCTGGGATCACCATCGGGGGCAAACCTGTCACTGTGCAAATGATGGGAGGACAAAAGACTGTCACATTTATGCCTAATCCCGGCTCTACAACTACCACTAGTGGCACTATCATTTCCTCACTTGGAAAAGTGTTGAATCAAGTTCCCCAAAATGTGGCTGAAAATGTTCCTGCTGCTACAAGTAAGTATGAGATTTAAAATATTTTCTCTATGTTTCTTTTGAAACTTGAGCACACTATTATAGGTTCCAAACAGTGTTTCCACTCAACCAAAGCAAAAATCCTACCAGTTTGAGAATATTCCATTTTATCCTTCATGAATTAAAAATTCCTATTCCATCCCGAGCGATTTTGTTTTGTTTTTTTGTAATGTTGAAATAGCTGCTTTAACAAAATAATTAAAGTATAATTAATTGCCAATTGGGGTTTCATTTTTTTCTTAGATGTAGTAAAAAATAAAACAAGACGTCAGGGCCTAAAATATTGTTTCATCCCGCATCCTGTTTTAATGTAGGGTATGCCACAACGTCTAAAATCCTGTCTTCAGGATAAAAATTATACGTATGGAAACAGTGATTCTAAAACTAATTATTTAACATGTATAAAGTGTATTAATTGTTCGCTCAACTGATTTGCAACAAATTAGTTCTTTGAATTTTCATAGGTACCAAAAACCTATTGCTTTGTAAATTGTTAAATTTTTTTAATAATTGGTACACATATATACAGGGTGATTGATATAAGTGTGCCAGCCGTTTTATTCGAAAACCATAAGAGATATCAAAAAATGTTAAATGGTAAGTGCCTTGGATTTTTTATTTAAAAAATTGTAGTCAAGTCAAAAAAATTATTTTAGCCGCTATTTTTCCAATATGGTCGCCAACTTTGATTTTTCTTATGGAACACCCTGTATTTTATGATGTATTCTGGTAGAAAATGTAATTTTAAGACGATTTTATTCTTGTAATTTTTTTCATAAACCTAACCGTTTCAAAGATAATAATGGTTTAAGTTGTGAAATTTTGAATGGTTTTCGAATAAAACAGCTGGCATGCTTGCTTAGGCCTTTATCGAAACTGTTTCTCATGCAGAAATTTCAAAACTTTAACCATTATTATCTTTGAAACGGTTAGGTTTATGAAATAAATTACAAGAATAAAATTGTCTTAAAATTACAATTTCTACCAGAATACATCATAAAATACAGGGTGTTCTATAAGAAAAATCAAAGTTGGCGGCCATATTGGAAAAATGGCGGCTAAAATAATTTTTTTGACTTGACTACAATTTTTTAAATAAAAAATCCAAGGCACTTACCATTTAACTTTTTTTGATATCTCTTATAGTTTTCGAATAAAACGGCTGGCACACTTATATCAATCACCCTGTATACACACGACAAATAACAAGAATTTATTTTAACCCACTTAAAGACCAGATTCTTTGCATCCACTTCTACAGCAGCATGGATAAAACTAAAAAATCTGTTGAAAATTACATTTTTGCCCTTTATTACACAGACTATATGCTCATAACCAAATATACTTTTAACCGAATTTGCATATTTTAAATTTGGATTAGAAGAATTTTACAAAATGAAACGATCAGAGTTAAATGAAAATCCTAGTAAACTAAAAGATATGCATTTTCTACACACACTCAAATGGAATTTAAGTCCCAACAGCTCCTTAACTATTGTTTTCTAGAATGACATTATTCCACTGCTGTTGCTCTGTACATCAACTTGTCTGAGGGAAAGTAGTACCGACGGTTATCTTTAGGTATTCTTAGAATCAAGTGTTCATTTTTGATTTTGGGCTCTGTGTTACTGTGTCTCACATTGTGAAATCCTTCCACCTTCATCTTGACAGAGTGCTGGGTGTTTGGCTTCAAGGTTATGTTTCTCCCATCAACAGCCAGAGGAATCTGAATCTACTCTCCAAACTTGACATGGTTACTGAAATGCCAGTTTATCGCAGGTTCATACACATCCAAGTTGGTCCACTCAGTTATTGTTGGGTTTGGCTTCAAGGTTATGTTTCTCCCATCAACAGCCAGAGTAATCTGAATCTTCTCTCCAAACTTGACATGGTTACTGAAATGCCAGTTTATCGCAGGTTCATACACATCCAAGTTGGTCCACTCAGTTATTGTTGGGTTTGGCTTCAAGGTTATGTTTCTCCCATCAACAGCCAGAGGAATCTGAATCTTCTCTCCAAACTTGACATGGTTACTGAAATGCCAGTTTATCGCAGGTTCATACACATCCAAGTTGGTCCACTCAGTTATTGTTGGGTTTGGCTTCAAGGTTATGTTTCTCCCATCAACAGCCAGAGGAATCTGAATCTACTCTCCAAACTTGACATGGTTACTGAAATGCCAGTTTATCGCAGGTTCATACACATCCAAGTTGGTCCACTCAGTTATTGTTGGGTTTGGCTTCAAGGTTATGTTTCTCCCATCAACAGCCAGAGTAATCTGAATCTTCTCCCCAAACTTGACATGGTTACTGAAATGCCAGTTTATCGCAGGTTCATACACATCCAAGTTGGTCCACTCAGTTATTGTTGCGTTTGGCTTCAAGGTTATGTTTCTCCCATCAACAGCCAGAGGAATCTGAATCTTCTCTCCAAACTTGACATGGTTACTGAAATGCCAGTTTATCGCAGGTTCATACACATCCAAGTTGGTCCACTCAGTTATTGTTGCGTTTGGCTTCAAGGTTATGTTTCTCCCATCAACAGCCAGAGGAATCTGAATCTTCTCTCCAAACTTGACATGGTTACTGAAATGCCAGTTTATCGCAGGTTCATACACATCCAAGTTGGTCCACTCAGTTATTGTTGCGTTTGGCTTCAAGGTTATGTTTCTCCCATCAACAGCCAGAGGAATCTGAATCTTCTCTCCAAACTTGACATGGTTACTGAAATGCCAGTTTATCGCAGGTTCATACACATCCAAGTTGGTCCACTCAGTTATTGTTGCGTTTGGCTTCAAGGTTATGTTTCTCCCATCAACAGCCAGAGTAATCTGAATCTTCTCTCCAAACTTGACATGGTTACTGAAATGCCAGTTTATCGCAGGTTCATACACATCCAAGTTGGTCCACTCAGTTATTGTTGCGTTTGGCTTCAAGGTTATGTTTCTCCCATCAACAGCCAGAGGAATCTGAATCTTCTCTCCAAACTTGACATGGTTACTGAAATGCCAGTTTATCGCAGGTTCATACACATCCAAGTTGGTCCACTCAGTTATTGTTGCGTTTGGCTTCAAGGTTATGTTTCTCCCATCAACAGCCAGAGGAATCTGAATCTTCTCTCCAAACTTGACATGGTTACTGAAATGCCAGTTTATCGCAGGTTCATACACATCCAAGTTGGTCCACTCAGTTATTGTTGCGTTTGGCTTCAAGGTTATGTTTCTCCCATCAACAGCCAGAGTAATCTGAATCTTCTCTCCAAACTTGACATGGTTACTGAAATGCCAGTTTATCGCAGGTTCATACACATCCAAGTTGGTCCACTCAGTTATTGTTGCGTTTGGCTTCAAGGTTATGTTTCTCTCATCAACAGCCAGAGTAATCTGAATCTTCTCTCCAAACTTGACATGGTTACTGAAATGCCAGTTTATCGCAGGTTCATACACATCCAAGTTGGTCCACTCAGTTATTGTTGCGTTTGGCTTCAAGGTTATGTTTCTCCCATCAACAGCCAGAGGAATCTGAATCTTCTCTCCAAACTTGACATGGTTACTGAAATGCCAGTTTATCGCAGGTTCATACACATCCAAGTTGGTCCACTCAGTTATTGTTGCGTTTGGCTTCAAGGTTATGTTTCTCCCATCAACAGCCAGAGGAATCTGAATCTTCTCTCCAAACTTGACATGGTTACTGAAATGCCAGTTTTTCGCAGGTTCATACACATCCAAGTTGGTCCACTCAGTTATTGTTGCGTTTGGCTTCAAGGTTATGTTTCTCCCATCAACAGCCAGAGGAATCTGAATCTTCTCTCCAAACTTGACATGGTTACTGAAATGCCAGTTTATCGCAGGTTCATACACATCCAAGTTGGTCCACTCAGTTATTGTTGCGTTTGGCTTCAAGGTTATGTTTCTCCCATCAACAGCCAGAGTAATCTGAATCTTCTCTCCAAACTTGACATGGTTACTGAAATGCCAGTTTATCGCAGGTTCATACACATCCAAGTTGGTCCACTCAGTTATTGTTGCGTTTGGCTTCAAGGTTATGTTTCTCCCATCAACAGCCAGAGTAATCTGAATCTTCTCTCCAAACTTGACATGGTTACTGAAATGCCAGTTTATCGCAGGTTCTTACACATCCAAGTTGGTCCACTCAGTTATTGTTGCTGAACAGCTCACTTCATATGTATCATCTACAGAGACTCCTGGTCTAGGATCCCATGATTCACACTCTAGTGATAACAGCACAATTGCATGTCTTTTGGTAGTCAGGGTAAAGTTGTAAGTGAAACAGTCGTCCCATTCCATATCTGGCGTAATAATTTTTAGTTGATCAAGGACAGACTTTATTTGTCTAAAAAATTGTTTTTACCTTTTGTCTACAGCTCAATCAGTTGTAACTTCCGTTACGGCCGTTTTGGCATTAACATGCCGTAATATAAAAATTAGTTCAATAACGTCTAAGTCTGAAGGAATTTGAACTTCATTAATTTAACAATTGCGTATGAGATTTTGTTTTTAATTGTGATGTAGTTTGCAATGAAAAGGCATGGGCATTGCTGAAATTGAAAATTGAAGTAACTTAATCATGAATCACTTCACTGACTGTCACATCACATCACATGGCACAAAAATGGCTGTAATGTGTTGTAATGTTGTTCTACCAGTAATGTAAAAGAAAATCCCCCATGTGCCATAGAGACATATTTTAATAATACTCTGTTGTATGTAGTGATGGTCGAATGCAGGAATTTCGAATCTCGAATCCGAATCCTAAAAAAATTGAATCTCGAATCTCGAGTTCCAAAAATAATTACAAATGGGCTTATAATGATTAAAAAAGCATGAATGGAATAGGAACCATCTAAAAATAAATATTACACTAACCATAAATGTCTACTCTTTGCAATGAAAAGTTACCTAATTACTTTTGACACACGGGAAAAATACAGAGGACTAATCGGTTACATCTTTTAACCTAATGACCTAAATGGAACTGTCGGTCAGTATACTTTATTTGGATGGCAAATACTCATTATTGGTTATTTATGGTTGTTGTAGGTACACTTGTTAATTTTAAATTTGTTGGTCGATAGTATTCTCTGTTCATAAAATGGCAATGTCACAGTAGTGTATATTAAGACGTCAATAACCTCTATCATGGTTAGTCAATGTCACAGTACTGTATATACGACGTCAATAACCTCTGGTTAGTCAATGTCACAGTATTGTATATTACGACGTTAATAACCTCTATGGTTAGGCAATGTCACAGCATTTGTCTTATAATTCTTTTCTTAACAAAAAATTGATTCTCGAATCTCGTTAATCGAATCTCGAATCCAAATCTTTTCTTAGGATTCGGTAGATTCGAGAATCGGATTTGACACATGCCTACTTGTATACATCGTGTTGATTATTTCTTAAATAATTTTTTTAACACACTTTTTTTAACAGGGTTGCAGCAGTTAGGAGAGGAGCTGATGGAAGATGATCCTGATGATCCTGAGGCTGTAGCAAGCTTGGCGGAAGGAGAGGAGAACAACCCTCCCATAGCAGATTCTTCAATCTCATCTACTAAGACTGCCCCTGAAGACGGCGGTTCTGATACCGGCGGAGGTATTTATAAGTGCATTCATGGTCAACTTGTAAACATGTTTTATATAAGCAGTCAATAGGGGTTGCCTACTGACTGGATAAGATAATACATCAGACGACAAACGGGTACGCAAATTTAAGAGGATCGATTACAAATTTGAATGAAAAAATGGGAGGATTAATACTAAGTAGGACAACAGGGTTGGGGCTTGAAGGGGACACAGTTTAAAAACCATTATTCTACGTGTTTCAGATGCAGTGATGATAATTCAACATCATTGTCAGGGATTATTTTATAATGATTATAAAATTAATTGCCCAATAAGGAATTGAACATATATATTCATCAAATTGAAATATCATTTCCTGAAGATATAACTTGCAATTAATTTATTTCCACAGAACATTTGTGGTGTAGTCGAGACATTTCAGGTGTGGATTAAAACTTGAAACTTGACTGTGTCTTGATCTCTCCTCAGTCTTGGATATGTTATGAGCTTAAAAAATAGATATTACCTATTACCGACCTCTCTATTTATTTTGCTAAGCCCTGTTACCTGTTTTCTACAGTGGCTGATTCAACAACCCTTCCATTGCCTCAATTGAGTGAGGGAAAAACAACGAGTGAGGGGTCAACATCAGATGTAGATCCACTGGCTCCTGCCATTAAGACACCTTCGCTCATCGATGACTATGTCTCGGATTTCGTCCAAGGCAATGGACTCAATATAAAAGAGGAACCTTCTAGCTCTCCATCATCATTGGCCCATGCCCCACCGGGTCCAGCTCTCAGTGAACTTGATATAAAAAAAGAGCCTGACGTAAAAATTAAAAAAGAAGTAAGTATACAGTCGTGATGGTGAATTGATAGTATTCTCTTCAATTGCTACGCTATATGAAGAGGACTTTTTTATTAGTAATATGTCGTTTGCAATTTATATTGGTTTGATTTTGGTTTTGTCAGTTTTCAGGTGTTAATTATGAATAATTTATTCCTAAAAATTGCTTCATGGTACAAAAATAAATAGGTACAATTTTTTTAAATGACTTTAAGTTTTAACAAACATAAAGAAACTTAATACAAGAATATACAGGGGGAAACAATTAACAGAAATGTGAACTTAATGTTTAATGATAAAAACCAACAACAAAAAAACCAACTTAAATAAAATTAATGATGTTGTAGCTAGTTCAATGGTTTGTAATAGGTATGTGGAATCAGTAGACATAGACAAACTCTGCCTGTGTGTCTGCTGGGTTGCTTTAGTCTTGTCACCATACAATAATGACCCTAATTGGTTAATTTGGTCATTTAAACAAAGATTGAATTGAAAAAAAAAAAAATTTTGGATTAAAATTTAGAGTATGAAAAGATAATGTGATTGGAATGAAACGAGTAATAGACGTGTAGCGATAATTTCTGTGGGAGCAAGTGTAAACATACAGTTGTGTCGGTCCGGAGCTGAGCACAAGGTGGGCAGGGGGACAGTGCACTGCAAGGGTCAGGTCAAACATTTTCATGTCTAAACATACTACTATTAATCATTATTGGCTTGCAGTAATTTTTGTTACAAAGTTTTACTTGAAGTTGAGTTTGCCCAGAACAACAAACCAAACTCAGTATTATTGTAACATTTTTAAATGCACTAAAATTTTGCACTCGTCCCTTCCGTAATTAGTCAAACAACTTAATATTCTGACTTGACCCACAACTAAATCAAAACAAGCGTCACAATGAGAGATTGTTCAGCAGGAGGATGAATCAGATGCCCTCTCTACTCTGGCTTCGGCTGCATTGGCTTCTACTAATGGCATCAAGAATGAGGTAAATTTTCGCAACAGTTTCTTTAGTTTTAACATTTTTCCAGCCCAAAATGAGATATATCATGTTTTAAAAATTGTATCGGAGTTAATTCACTACTACTATGCTATAAATCCACAAATCCTGTTTAGGGGACTAGGTTATTTTAGATTAGGATCTGTGCAAATCACACAGATTGAGTATTGTTACATACAAGTTGCATATTGGTAGTGATTTAACAAAAATCATATCAAATCAAAATTTTTTTATTTCGTACAAATGAAACATTTTATACAAAATTTAATATTTGCAATAAAAATCCCACATAGGAGCTCTTGAGGAGTGGGAGTGAGTCCTTTTATATTGTAATAAGAAAGAAATGGGAAACTTTTAAAATATAGTAAAAACAAAGCAACTACTTTATAAAGCGCTATAGCAGGGATATTTTGACAAAATTACATTAGGCATAGATAACTAGGGGTAGACGGATTTTTATCCCCCTGGAATCTTACCCCCTAGGCAAAACTGACGTCACAAACCAGGGGGTAAAATTCCGGCCGCGAACTTTTGAGTTGCACAACATCAGTTTGATGGATTAAAGGTGGAATTAAAACGTATCTTTTCACTGTTGTGAATTTAAGCAGAACACATCAAATTATAAAAACCTCTAGTGTACGGGTCGAAATTGTACCCCCGGACTTTTACCCCCTTCATGAGGTCAGCTCAAAGTATGGCCCGGATTTTTACCCCCGGAATTTTACCAGGGTGGTTATTGCCACACACACACACACACACTCACACAAACTGGGTTTTGTTGGTACCATTGCTGCCTAACACTACATTGAGATTACATCTATGAAGCAATGCCTCTTGTGAAAGCAGTATAGTAAGTAGATTTACTATCCTGCCTAGGTGCCGGGAATGAGGATCTGTTTGCCTGGCTTCCCAGGAGCCCCTTCAGCAATCAAAATATCTAAATCTGCAGACGGAGCTCACCTGAGTTGGGAACCTCCTAGCAATGTTGCTGGGAAGATAATTGAATACTCCGTATGTCTAGCTGTGCGTCAGACTCAGCCACAGGTACTACTTTAATTTTAACATTTTATCCTATTTATATATATATATTTTATTAACCCAATAATGGCTTTATCTGATTCTAAGTACTGTGGTTTTACAAACCTGTGTATTTTGGCTAAAAATAATAAAAGAGACATACACACTAGTTTTGACTACATTTAAAAAAAAAAGCCCTACATAATTTTTAGGTAAAAAACTACTTTTTTTCAAACATGTGGAATATTCAGAGTTGACAGCAACCAGAAATCCCGGGAAAATCGGGAATTATGCGTGAATTTTAACCGCCGTGAAAGAACCGGGAAATATGTGTGAAAATGGTATTATTCAGGTATTTACCGTGAAACCCACAATCCCCTGGTCCCCTAGCTCCAAAGTACTTACCTTAGTGCATATGGCAGCCAATGGCTCTCAATTCTCGCATTCAGTGATACCACAGAGAGAGTTCTATTGTTTGTGGTGATACCATCGGTTGCGTTGTAGCTCTAGTTCAATGTGCAACTATTGCCGCCATTGCCGGTATCGACTTAACCTTGAGTGCAATAAGTATTTTAATTTGTTTTTACAACTTTTATTGGGGTTTTCTTATAAGCCGCCAGGAATTTCGTACTTTTTAGCTGGGAAAACCAGGAAAAATGTGTGAATTTTGTTTATAGATTCTGCCGACAACCCTGAATATTCAAAACAATATTGGCTTCATTATTCAAAATAATGGCTTTTTAGGATGTTACGTATAACTGGTATTTCATAATAAATCTGGCTGTTATACAATTATTTAAGATTAAACCACTGCATTTTCATTTTTTTTTTTTTTTGTGAATTTCCCTTATAAGAAATAAACTATTACTGTAGGTCTCATGGCAATACCTGGACGCGGGACCGATTAACTTTTTCGTTTTGATGTCCCCTGAGGTAAAAATTAGATTGCTTGTACTTGATCTTATTATGTTTGATAAATAAATAGTTTTATTTTTTTGAGTGATCATAAAAACATTATAACCATTGTCAATTTGGTGTTGTGGACTGTTGTTCTGAAACATATTTTTATCAACAAAATTCTTTGAAATTTAAAACTATTTAAAGATAAATTTTCAAACAAATGCCGCTGTTATTTTGCCAGCTTAGCATAGCTTTTTGTTGTCCTAAGTGGGAATTAGAGGGATATAGAGAAAAATACAGAAAGGAAGTTTTTAATTTTATTTCCGGCACCTTAAATTATACAATTCCAAGTACCAATCAGAATTTTTTTTATTTATTTAATAGATCTTTTGAAACGGCAAAACTATGCTATGCATGCCATGAACCAAACTCGGCTCTTCACTTTCCAATGTTTGTTTTGCAGACCGAGGGTAAAAATGCTACATTAGCATTTGTTCGGGTATATTGTGGTCCTACAAACCAAGCTGTAGTACCCAATGCTTCCCTGGCTGCGGCTCACATTGACATGACTACTAAACCTGCCATCATCTTCAGGATAGCTGCCCGTAATGAGAAGGGCTATGGTCCTGCAACCCAAGTCAGGTGGCTTCAAGGTACATTGACTCTACCAGTATTCTGTTTCAAGTTTCTTACCTCCACATATGTCCAGTTTCCTCTTGTCCTTCAAAAATGTTCAATAATTTCTTAATAAAATAACTTTATTTTAATTACTTTAAATCACGTATTATTTGTTCAATTTTCATCACCAGATGCTCAATGGATGCGGGATTTTATGCTCTACAATTCCTTTATGATATGTTTTTCTGTAGGCTGGACAATCTATTGACGTTTTAGCAAAAACTAAAAAATAACCCTAAATTTCAAGATTTTTGTGGTCCCACCCAGGTTAGAAGCTCACCTGGTAAAATGGGACAAACTTTAAATCCTTTTACTTCTATATAAAAAAAAGGGTTAAAACGATTTCCAGCTTTTCATGAATTATTTCCGGGCAAAAACCTAATTTTACTGGCCTATTAAGAATTGACATTTGCTAAACGGAAATATTCATGTAGAAAATTGTTTAAAGAACTTAATATAATAACTGTACCAAGTTTAATTATTTTTAAATCCTTATTAATGGTACAGTTAAATTTTGAAAACTTATGTGCGGAGAATTTTAACCATCCATACAACACCCATTTCAAAATGAATTTTCAGTTTCTGATTCACCGATTAAAATTAATAGAAGAAAATCAATAAAAAAACCAAAATATATGAGAAAGAAATTTATAAATAAATTGCAACCAAAATATAAAGATTTAATTAACAAAACTTCTTTTAAAAGCAGCCTTTCCTCATTTATTGTAAACAAAATATATTTCAGTATTGATGAACTTTATTTTGAGTTATAGTAATTTTTTGTATTAGTCAATATTAAGTTTTTTTAAATAATGGAAATAATTATTTCTAAGAATCTTTGAATAATTTTTGTATTTTGGGTACTTATTATAATTATGTTGACAATGTCACCTGTTTTTATAGCTGTTGATATGTAATCTGTAAAATGTTTATGTGACAATAGAGATATATTTATTTATTTGTTTACATGGCGAACTTTTGAATTTTTCGGGGCCCAAATATAATTAAAGAAGAAGTTATGGGTTAAGTAATTAAATTTGCTATCATTAGTATCGAAATGAAGTGACTTGTTAGTTGTTAGAGTTAATAGCTAAGATTTAAATAAAAGCGGGACAAAAATATTTGTTGAAAGCAGTTGAACGTTTTATTGGGTTGTCTCTTTGTAAGAATTGAGTGTGGGACAGCAATTTTGAATTCAAGGGGGGAAATTTATTTTGTCCCTTGATTTTTTTTAGACGAGACGAAACATCATAGGCCTAGCGGCACAGTAAGATTTATGTATGTATATGTTTGTTGACACAATTTTAATAAGTGTAGTTTTAAGGTGGGTTTAATACAAATAAGATATAAATTTAAATATGGAAAAATCTTGACAAATCTTGGAACAAAATACGATTTTTAAAACAAAGCACCCTCTTCCCTCAACATTGGGGGAGTCAACGTCCATGCTGTTCGTCCACCAGGGTTCCTAACAGTTTAGGTAAATTCAAAATGTTCTCTTACCCAATATTGTCTCTTTGTCGTCCATCCTCTTTTTATTAACAAAAATTTATCCTTCCGGCCTTCCCTCAATAGGAATTATTTAATCCTTTACTTTGGAGTCTCATGCTGTACGTATTGAAGATTTATATTGTGTGTTTTAGACGTAGTATCTTCGTCAAGTGCAGCTAAAACTGGAGTAAAGAGAGAACCAGTACCTTCACTGAACCCTACCAAGAGGTTCAAACAAGAAGATATGCAATGACGTATCTAAGTTGCCCGTCAGTGGTCTTAAGACAATCGAGTGAAGTGGGTTTGACTCTGAGATTGTGTACTAGTGAGATCTTGAACTTGACTTACCTGTAAAAGTGACAGACACCCTAGCAATACAAATAAAATGAAAGTATTAGGTAAACGAGAATATTTGTATTGTAAAATTAGCAATCTTGAGATACGAACTCTGTAAGAGAAACGACCATATTTCAAGTTTTGACTTTATTTTATTTGGTCTCATTTAGAAGGAATAAGTGACACGGTCTGTAGTACAAAACCCACTCTTAGACTCCAGTTGTTAGTTCAGTCGTCTGAGATCTTATCAGATTTATTTTGTTCTTTTGACACACAGTTATTTATTTTTCAGAATGTTTAGATTACTGACAAATGTTGGTCAATACCTCTAACACTGTCTGTGCCCTACCTCGACACAGCTGCAAACTCCTAATCACAGATATATTAGCTTAATTTTTATTACAATGACTACAGTTTTCAATAATTTGTTAATGTTCTCACTATAATTTTGTTATTTGAAATATATATATATTTGTGTACGTGTCTGTGTGTGAAAATTCACGAGTGAATGGTTAAAGTTGTGAGTGACTCTCTTGAGTCGATACTCAAAACTAGTGTGTATATTGTTAATATCTTTGTAAATATAAATGGAAATCTAAGAAATAGTATTCATTATAGGAACTTTTTTCATGTTTTGTATTATAAGCTTAATTGGCTTTAAAGAAAAAAATTTTATTTGAAATTAGTGCGGTGTAAAAAGTGTTCAAGTGGTTCAGCTCATAGTGTGTCGTTGAGCGATGAGGTGGTAATTTTGTTGTTTTTTGTAAAGTCTCTTAAAGGCTTAGGTTTAAGAAATCCAGGTATTTAGTTTGAAAAATTGTGCCACTTTTTGATTCGTCTTGGTGTGTAACAATTCAGAAGTTTAATATATTATTATATGGATGAGCCATCAGGCTCTTTATTGAGATTTGCTATTTTACTTTATACTGTTGAAATTTGTTTGTACAATGTGCGGATAGCAGCAAGTATCAAACAACTTACTCTAAACTGGCTATGTCTGTGTAATCTTATTGGCCTTGTAATTTTATGTTATGCTGTTAAAATTTGTTATTTAAAGATAAAACCTAGATTGATTAAAAATCTTTTACCATTTAACATAATTTGTTACTTGAATGTTTGTCTCAGCATCAAAGCTACTGTTTTAGTTTATACTACTACTAAATTTCTACTACTGATAACCGTTTATTGTAGGTACTGACTACCCCCTAATAGTTATTAAAGACAACCCATGCTTACTAGAATATCCTTGCACACATATCCTACACAAACAGTTTTTACATTTTACATTATAATTCTGTTTCCATTTTTTACGAATTTTCTTATAAGGAACACAATAACTCGAGTAATCTTTTTCCTGAGACAGCCAAAATGACACATGCGTTATACATTTTTCATTTCACAGTTATTACACGACTGTTGTACAGTTGTAGTAATCAACTTGTTGCTAATCAACAAAGGTAATTGTAGCGTGTGATTTAATGTTTTAATACATACTAAGACACAAAATTTGTTAAATCAGGCCGAGAAACTTAATTTCAATCCAAAAAAACCATATTTATCTAAGTAGATTTTATATTTGTTACTATTCTTGTAAGCAAGGGTTATTCATTTTATTTTTGTGGTCCTGATATCTACTGCTTTATGACTAGTTTAATAATATAACTCAAAAACTGTTTATACCAGAAAAATAAACTGTTCAGTACCCTAATATGACCAGTATTACAAAGTTTTATACCCATTTGAATTGACTTGATAAAGCGTAAGTGATATACTAGTACAAAATTTATCGTTAGAAGTAAGGCTTCCAAATCACCAAAGTTAATAACACTAATGTGGTCTTAGAGGTACTCCTATTAATCAATAACATGTTGTGCTGTGTTTTCGGCCTTGTAGCTAATGGCCATTTTGGAGCACTACTAATGAATGGCATTAGCTACAACAGATTATAATGGCAAAAATGCCAATCTTCAGAACAGATCCCACAGATCACAGTAGGGTTATTTGAACTTAATTTATTGATGTTTATGTATATCTGTTTTATCTTTAAACAGACCTCTGAAAGCAGTTCAAGATGCATGTCCCATTTGTATGGTTTCCCTACAAATATCATATTTTGAATGTAAGAGAAAAACTAGTTATTAGTTTAAAATAGTTATTAGCGTTAAAAATGTGTGAAAACCTGCTAATAGAAAACAATTGTTGTCAAATTTGTGTCATGTACACAACAAGCCATTTCATTCATTGTGTTAATCATATTTACAAAATTTAAAAAGGGAAACTGAGCATAGCTAAAACTGATAAATTAAAAGATAGATAAATTTACCAACATTAATGTTCTTTGAGCTGATTTCTGGATTGAAAAATGGAAAAGTTGTGAACAATTCTTAAACAAGTTAGTTATCATTGAAGCTGCTTCTTTACATATTTTGACTGTTCCTTAAGTTATAAATAAATAATATACCGGTAAGTGTATAAATTTACCAACAATGATTAACATTTCAATCAGTTTTATCCGTAATTTATCATCACTTTCATTAATACATTATAAGGTTTTGAAACTATCCTAGTGTATACCTCATCTAAAGCTGTTCCACACATAAAATTATACCTTAAATATTTAACCTTCATCAAGAAGCAGCGCCATTGAAAATTAAAGGTCAAACCACATTTTCCATTTTTTGACAAGGATTTAAAAAATATTTTGTCAAACATATATATATATATATATATATTACATCTTAAAAAGCTATACAATATACATACAATATATACAATACAATACGTTTTACAAGCCTGTTCACAAAATATACATTGAACTATCAATCAAACCTGTCGACTTAAGCTCTATAATTTCTACACAGCTCAGTAGAGTATTTTTATAGAATTTTTTATGTGTTATTTGGTTAATATAATTTAGTAGCATGTGGTGATGAATGAAATGACTTACACATTTTTTATTTTATTTTTCTCATTATTCCACAGACTATAAGCAGACAAAATGCTGTTTATTTCACAATGGTACTTTCTCGCTTAAGGATTTAGATACTCGTGTTCTGTTCAACTGAATTTTATATACGTTGTACTTTTGACTCAGTTTGAAATAAATAAATGTTGTGCTATTATATTTTTGTCATTGGTTTTATGTATATTCATTCTCTTGAGTTGCTGTCTTTTTTTTACTTCAATACACTTAATAAGGAACGTAAAAAGATTCTCAACTTTTTTGTTTCTTTAGACCTATCTTACAAATCGACTTGGAATATCAATCTTAACCAATTAATTTAATGCAAAAGAAAAATGTAAGGCAAATATAAATATGTTTTTAATTTTGTAAGAAATTTAAGAGTCATAAAATAACTATATTTTCGTAGATGAGTCACATTTCAAATTAGATTAAGCATTAGGCCTTGCCCCTTGGATTGCCATACTAGATACATGGGTGTATATTTAGCCCATTTTGTCCAAAGCTATGATATCCACCACCAACCATGTAGAAGATATTTCTAAAGTTTATTAAATGTGCATAAATCAAAGATTTGATGTCATTTTAAGTCTCTTCTCAGTACCTTACCTCTTTGCATCCTTGCTTTATTTCCTTCTGACACAATACAGATATTTTTATTTATTTTTGGATTGCGTACATCATCAGCTTTAATCTCCGATCCAATAACAGCGGTAATGGCAGCCATTGACTATATAACACTAGTGTTATATAGTCAATGATATAGCTCTTTCTCCAGAGAGGAAATCTAATTGTCTAATTCCTCAAGGATTCGGGAAAGGTATCTACAGTCATTTGACTGAGGTCTGAAACTCAAACAATTGCCTCTTGCAAGCCTTGTCAGGTGTGTTAGTTCGTTCCCAGCTCATGCTGGACTAACCCAAGAACTCAGGGTAGGAGTTTTTATTAGATTTTTATAAGATTTGGGGACCAAGGTAATTCAGAATAATGGGTCTCCAAATTTTTAAATGTGCTGCCTAGTACTTACTTTTTGTATGTAATGTCATCAAATATCTATCAATAGAGACGTTGAAACATTTTTGTGATATATATTGGGCTCAACTAAAAAAATGAACTACTACAAAATATTATTTAATAAAATATGTTCAACACTTTTAGTCTTATATCTATAAATCTGTAAAGCTATTAACTAAATGCATAACCTGTTCAAGTTATATAACAGGTAGTTTTGAACCCCTGCCAATCATGTAATCTCTTCTGAACACTTTGTTCATGTGGTTTCCAATGTAAGTGCGAATCCATTTGGGAGGAACCATGGTAAAGAAATACTGCAACAAAACCATCAACATTTCAATAAAACAGTGTTTGTTACTAGTGAATGGAGTGAAATTTAGGGCTTTATGATCAAGACCAGCTGATTTTTTAAAGACATATATTCATTAAATAATAGTAATAGTACGGAAAAAAGGCGTTTCCATGCGAGATGAAGTCGAGTGCAGGATTACCAATTACCATACAAGTCCGGTAAACACATTTTGGACGAGTGACGTACGATATTTTACGCCATAGTCTATACAAATCCTTATATTTCCACAGATTAAAGGACTTACAATCAATAGTTTATAACCACTCATTGCCAAATATTATCAGCTGGTTGGTACAGGTAAAAACTCATTACAGTAACAGTAGTATGTAATGAAACCCCATTTGATTAAGCTGACGGCAAACCGCAGTTTTCTGGACCAAATCCTTGTGTGGGAAGTTCGTCAAAACAGTGTAGTGTGGCGTTTTACTATATTACGTTACTGTTACTAGTCCTGAAAATAAGTGTTTGCCGGACGAGTGTGGTCGATAGTTTACGCCATACTACTAAATCTGTACAAATCCTAAAAAATTACCACCAACTAAAGGACTAACAATTACTAGACATAACCTCTAAGAGAGGTTATGGTTATGTTATATATATATGTGTGTGTGTGTCCGTTAGCATGATAACTCGAGCAAAAATGATCCGATTTTTATGAAATTTGGTATAAACGTGTAAACCTACATTTATTCGAACGAGTTCGCAAACCAGCATGATCGGACAACGGTAACGGGGATTTATGGGGTACAAATTGGGTTTTCCCACTTTTAACCCTCAAAACAAAAAATTTCCCAATTTCTCTTTAGACCTTTTTAAAGAGCTTAAAAAACAAATAATTTTGTATATAAAAATATTTTTTCGGTTATTTGCAATAAAGAAAATTTAAAAAAAATTTAAAATATCCATGTTATTCTTATGGAGAATATTGTAAAATGTTGTAGTTTGCTTGTTTATGGATATATTTTGATCAACCTTCGCAAATTTATTTATTTTATACTAAGCTATCAATATTTTACTAAAAAACACTTTATCAGTTTCCTTGTGGCAGCGAACCTAAGTACTTGTTAAAAGAAAAACACTGCACATCAATCAATCAATCAAAATAACTTTATTCATATTGCACATTTTGTACAGAATGGAGTCAGCTATAAAAACACAATATTAAACTTAAGACTACTTACAAAGAACATTGTTATAAAAAAAAAAAAATCAAATTTCAGGAAGTTGGAAAAAATCTTCTAATTTATACAAGGGTCTGTTGGTGAGAAATAATTTCAAACGTTTTTTAAATGAATTAAAATTACTTATATTTTTTATATTGTCAGGTAAGCTATTGAAATATTTAACACCACTATAAGATGGATTTTTTTCATAAACCGATAAATTATGTTACATGTTCTTCTCATGGAGGAAAAAAAACTGTTGTACCGTGTGCTTGTTTCGTTTATGGATACATTGAGATCAAATTGTATAGTTCTTGGATTGTATACTAATACTATACCATTTACAGTTTACAAACAAAACATGTTTTCTCCCCTATAGCTGCATGTTGTAGCTGTGTAATCTTGTTAGCATCTGCTGTAAGGAGATTGCAGTGTACTTCAGCATGAACTACTGAACTAGTATCTATCCAGCTGTTTCTGAACGTTATAGTTGACTAAATAACACTACAAGTATCATATAGTCAATAGTAGTGGTATATAGCCAATGACTTATCTCTTTCAACAACGATATATCTGACTCATTTGCTTTTATTGCTCTTAACAACACCACTTCTGAGAGTGAGAATCGTTTAAAAATTGTGGCTCTATGTGTGAAAATTCATTTACTATTTTAAATACCGTAAATTTTTCTTGAAAATGGTGATATCTCTTCTCTGATTAAAATGTTCGTTACTTAAGTGATAAGCTTCAATTTGATAACAATAGGCCAAAATATATATACTAGCGTCCCTGTTGCTCGAATCCGAGCAATTGCTAAGTATTAAAGGACAGGCAATTTTTTTTTTAAACGAATAACAGTAATTATTTCTGATGACTTTAAAAGAGTCGACTCAAACATTATGGAAATACTCAAGATGTACATAACAGATTATATCAATTTATCCAGGCTCTCTCGCTTTTTCCATTGTAATATTTACGCAACCCCAAATTCAAATAGTAAATATTTCATTTCAACCAAGTCAGTAAATGTTAGTAGCAAACTGTTAAATTAGCAAACTTATTCACTGTTTACAATGAACATATGTTCTTCTCACTTTTAATTTCTGACAACAGCTGGAGTTTCATAACATTTTTTGTTTCCCATGTTAATCTTATGGAGAAATATGAAATTTTAAAGGGCCCCAGGGCCTCACTCTCTAATTATCTCCCTAAAAAGAACGTTCCCTGCACAACTTCACGTTACGCTCTTTCCAATGACACCAAAAACATGTCAATCGGTTCAGTAGTTTCGGAGGAGTAATTGTCACAAAAAACCTGGTTGCGTATTAAATAAGTATATATATAGATAACTTAAATAACTCGAAAACGGATAATTTTATAAAAAAGTTCAAGATTACTTTTTTAGTATTTCTAATCCCCTATCAAACAAAACCAAGATGAAATAGATCGAAAGGCAAGTAACTGAAATAGAACGTTTTTCAGTTGTAAGATTATAAAATAATTTGTAAAATTGTCCGTTTTCGAGTTATTTAAGTTATAAAAATTTAAGTGGCCGCCATTTTGAAATTTCCAATCGGGCCAACTTTTTTTAACTTAATTTTATACAGAAATGTTGAGAACGCTTTTTAATTCCCTATAAAAACCAAGGTCAAAAAGATTGGGCGGCAAATAACTGAAATAGAACGTTTTTGGTGTTAAGGCAAAGTTAGTCAGGGTGCCCTTTATTTAGCCTTATCTTACAAATGAAAAACCTTCTAGAGTACCTTCTGCCTTATTCTACCCCATTTTAAAACTAAAAACTGTAATATTTCAGCTATATCTTATTCGATATTTTTGATCTTGGCATCGTTTGATAGGAATTAAAAATGCTAAATATAAGTGTCCATGACATTTTTTCATAAAATCAGCCATTTTCGAGTAATTAAAGTTAAAAAAATAAAACGGCCTCCTTTAAAAATTTTTGGTTGAATCAAGATACACTTTTTCCCTAACATGGGTCTCTTTTACCTTAACATACGTACTAAATTTCATAAAGGTCGGTTGAAAAAATGCAAAGATAAAAAAGTGTATGTAAAAAATACAAAATGGCGGATATCTGGTTAACAAAGTGATTTTGGAAAATGTTATTCTTGATTTTCTCTTTACAGTATTTTGACTCAAGGAATCAGTGCGTAAATTTTCCCCACCTTTTTTGAACACCCTGTATAGTCAATGACAATAGACTATAACAATAACCTTTATTATTGTATGGGCTTCAGCAGTGCAGCAGTTCGCATGGTCACTACTAGGTTCGCAGCAGTTCGGCAATCACCGCTAGGTGTCACCACCATCGAGGTTCGCAGCAGTTCGCCGAGTCACCGCTAGGTGTCTCTATAATTGCTTTCATGTCGTTCATTCATTTATCATTAATTTTAATTGATTTAAATGCAACTAACGAGCTTAGCTTCACATATACACAAAATAAACAAGTTAGTTCTTTCAAAACCGCAAACCATTTGGACTTTAAACCTGCGGTAGTTAACTAAACCCCCTCTGTATCCACTGACACTCGCAGGTATTTTACAGTAGCTCATACATTACTACCCTACTTGGGCAAGGGAACTGTATCTTAATTTTTTGTTGTTGCAGATGTAGCTGCTTACTGGGTAGTGAAACTTAGAGATTTTTTGGAAAGCCGAGAGTTGAAACTTTTTAAGTAAAGTTCAATGATTGGCTTATAAGCACATCACTTTAGATAGATGAACTACAGGAAAGTAGGAGGCCAAAGATTTTGTAGATTTGGGTTATTGGATTTGTCCACAATTGACTGTTGTAATTTGCTTGTTAATAAACGTATTTATATCAAATTCGGAAAATATATTCATTTTACACTAAACCGTTAGCACAATGAAACACGTCTTATTACCCTTACTGTAGCAGCAAACCTAAGTACTTGTTATTAATGTCAACTAAATAACAGAATAGATTTGAAACTTTAAAGGAGGGTTTTTATGAATACACAAACAGGCAAAATGAAATTCGCTTGAACTGCATGTTTTCTTCGACGGGGGTACTTGAGTTCCTTATGAAACCATTAAGTTTTGTTGTCTACTACGCTGTACAAAACTGTTATACTGACCTATTACCCTTTTTTAATTTAGGTTAGGCCTAGTTTTTGTTTTAGTGACGAGAGCCAAGATCTGTGGAAGTAATAGAGTCTGATTAAATCACCATGTAATTAAACACGGGATTTTTGGCTTTGACAATAAATCCTTTTCATTTTATTTCACTTATTTCAACGGCAAAATTGCCAGTTTATACATGGACAATTCAAATAACATGATACTGTGCAACGAGTTTAACAAAGGAGGGTTTAAGCAAAGGAAAAGAACAATAATTTAACAATCAACAAAGGAAACAATAACGGATCAGTCAACGAGAAATATCAATAACAACAATATAACAATAACAATGCAAAAAATTTAACAAGAACAAAAATAGAACAATAAATACAATAAATTAATTTTACACTGCTTTCGGTGTTTTCAAACATAGATAAATCTAAGTACAAGTAAAAACAAGTCCTTTCATCGTCCTGTAAAACGAACTTTTATGAATTATTTAGATGATGAATTTTGTTAGGGGCATTAGGCCTTTAAAGTTGTGAGGGAAATTATCCATGAAAACTTGTCGTTTACTCTGCAGAAAATTAACGATGTACGGCCAAGATAGCCCCGAACTCTAACTCCCTCGAATATCCTCTAACCTCTAACCTAATATACTCTAGCCTCTAACTAGAATATTAGAGGTGGTTATGAACTACGAAATGCATTCCCTAAGTCTTCACAAGGTTATCCCGTCTAGTAGTAAGCCTACAAACAATGATAACTACAGGGCTAGAGGGGGATAACTAGCGTGGTGTGAAAACGTTAACTGCTAGCGCTACTTTTGTCAGCGGAGAATAAACAAACTACTAGCGCAGTTGCCACTTATCGCCGCAAGAGCGGGGTAAAAAATGGTTTTTACCTACCAAAAAAACCAACAAATCTTTACCTACGACCGTCTTTTAAAGTAGCCGTTTCAGTACAGTTCTTAGAATTGAAAAGTATCTCATAATAGCATTTTTACTTTCATAACAGCATAGTTTTACTCATAACAACACGGGTAACGGACCAATGAGGTTCAAGGATTGAGAGAGGAGAAGTAAAATTGTAATGATTCAAAATTCAACTAATCAGCTGTTCAGGTCAATTTAATTGTTGATTGGTGCAATTCGTGTGTTTCGTTGCATCACTGTCAGTGGCAATAGAGGGTTATAAACGAAAACATAACATCTTTTAGAAATTATGAATAGTGATTTTTAGTAATTAAAACAATGTCGTAGGTAAAGTAGTGTACGCAACTCGCGTAAATAATGTTAAAGACACTCGTAGAAGTTTTTAAGGCAATCGCCAAGGCTCGTACCTTAAATTTTCTACTCGTGCCGTTAACACTATTTGTACGCAATCGTTGCGTAAACTACTATTACTGTATAAGGTTTGAGTCAAACTCAAATTTAATCAAAATTAATTATGTGTTTGATACGTTTTATAAAAGTAGTAACTAAAAGAAGGCTAGCAAATTCTTAGAAATGGTTATGAATTTGGGTTTACTATTTATAAACAAATTGTGAAAACATCTGCTTTTTAAGTTAAATATAGTTTAGAACTTTAACTTTGTTTGTGGTTTTGGTGAGTCGTTAGCACCACGGACTTCAGGCTCGAGGCAGCACTGTCATGGATTCGGATCAGATCCTGGTACCTGACAGTTTAACCTTTGTACTGTTGATTTGTACTGTACCGGCTCACCCCTTTCTTTGTTGGATACGTTCCAGGCGGCAAATGCAAAGGTAAAAATCACTTTTTGCAAAAAGTCGCAAACTTGCCAGTATCTTTGAAACTTAATATGTAACAGATACTTCACGTTTACTGCTGTAGTGGAATCGTAATGTAATGAAAATACCAAACACAGTCTAGGGCATTATTTTATGTCTAGAAACCTAAATTAGACCTTGTTAAATAGGTACAACTTAACTAGGTTTTTTAATGAAACTGATCGGTAGAAATATTTTCTTGAAATTCAAATAAGAGAAGTTTTACAGATTACATTCTTGGAAACTTTTGCTATCAAGACTTGGGAATTTAAAGGTTAGTGTACCTTGTTCGTTTTCAGTCTTATTCTGATAGGTTGATGTGTGTAGACAAAAACTTCTGTCGGATTTTATTGACTTTCAATTTGATGTAGGATTGACAATGGGTCTTATGACCTGATACTAGTTATCTGAAGAAAGACAGACAGAGTGTGTTAACATTTTTATATACTTAGAATACACTCTTGTATTTTTTATATGTAAACTGAAAACAGCTGGTTTAAAGGTATGGGGCTGAGAATGTTTAATGTATGTGCATTTTTTGTTGACCAAAAATATGAGGGCTGCCCATATATTATGGTCTGCATTGAGCTCTTGTTGCAGTAGAGTCGGTTCAAATCTAAGAACGATGACATTCCTGGCCCTGCCCACCCTGTCAATGTTCTTCCACCTGCTATACAGGGTGTTGTATTTACACTACCCGTTCTTTGCACCCGATCTTTGCTCAGTGTGTTGCTTTTCCTTGTTAAAACCGTCATTGTTAAAAAAAGGTTTTTTGTTTTCAAAATTTAATGTAAAAGCTTCGTATTTACCAAAGAGTAAAGTTGGTGGAGTAGCATTAACTGCTTTGGCAGTGTGCAATAAATAAAGGAGGAAAAAGAGGATGTGGATGAAATAGATATACAGTGGAGTCCAGATAATCTGAACTTCGGCGATCCAAAAGTTCACTTAATCCGAAACCGAAAAAGAAATTTTGTTGAATTTTGTTCTTGTTTTTCGTCAGCTGTTTTCGTCAGTTGTACCTCGTCGAAGTATTCTGGAGCGGCTGGGTGAGATAGACTTGTAGTAGGCCAATGGGCCAATTTAAACGTTCAGCATTTCATAATTATGCGTATTGTAGTAAACATTTCCATTTAGCTTAATCTGAAATATTCAGTAATCCGAAATGGGTCCGGTCCCAACCATTTCGGACTATCAGGAGTCTACTGTACCTCCAAAGACCTGGATTGAGTCATGCAAAACTACTTTTATGCAAAAAATACTGTTATGTGTGAAGCAGTGAGTGCGAAATCAGGTCGTGTAAACCCCGCTTAATCGTTCCATAGGGATGGGAAATAGCTAGAATAGTAGTAAATGAAGTAAAGAAGATTGGTCTCAGACTTGAACTAGCTTCAGCGTGTTTGGTTGTCATGGGAGCTCGATAGATACCTTAATTTACGCACTACACTTGTAAAATTATCGGGACATAATCCCGTGGAAGACATACCTGAATCCCATGTGCCCAATAACCTGTCGAGTGGTTAATGATTCCTAATGTATTGACAGCATTCTGCGCATATGTTTCTGCATCTGGTACAAAGACACTGCTAGTCTGCAGTCTGTAGCTGAACGCATTCATCTTTGTATTGATGAACAGCGGTGACAAATGCTGTATGGTTATGCCATCTCCTTGGTATTCGACTCTCAAAGCTTCTGAAAAGCTTTTCAGATATACCTGCAATGAGGTTAAGAAGATTAGTTTAACCATTGACTATTGAATCCTGAAATATACATCCCATCTATATGGACTAGCTGTTGCATATTGTTTAATTAAAAAAGAACATAGTTGTGTGAGGCAGTCACAGAATGCGCTAGTGTTTGAGATGATATTTTCTACCTTATTTTTTGTCTCTGACATAGTTGATGGATCATAACAGTTGCTATGGCTAACAATAAGTCATATTTAGATGAACAAAATCTGAAGGTGGCTCACATCAACCACAACAATAAATTGTTATAAAAAACTGGTGACAACTTTAACATGGGGATGGAATGACTAGTTGTATCAATAGTCAAAGATTTAACGTTGGTAATTCAAAATACATTTGCAAAAACAATTTATTGTTTGCAGCAATCACCGATACCAGAAATTACTAACTTTAATTAAGATGTTACTTGTGTATAGTATGCTAAAAATATAAATTGTAATATATTGCTAAGGCTATATATTATAGTTTACCTTGGAAGCAGCATACACAGTCATGAGTGGAAGAGGTTGCAATTCCGAGCTTGATGAAACGTTTACGATAGCTCCTCGACCTCTCAACTTCATCTGAGGAAGAATCAGTCTTGTCATGAAGGTTGCGGCTCCGATGTTGATGTTGACTATGTCCCACAATTCCTGCTCTGGAACCTCCGTCAGGTACATTGGATAGGAATATTGCTTACCGACGTTGTTCACTGAAATGAAACACCATCGAAGAACATGAATAAAAACAGAGATTGAATATTAGAGATCTACTCAGTTCCCAAATTACAAATCATCTTTTGAAAAATTACTCTTAAGTTTAAAAAAATGCATGTTTTTCTTTTTACTTGTAGTTCTTTCAGGTAAGTTTTTCCCAATGAGTAAAATGAATGCAAGACCAGTATTCAAGTATTTTTTGCATTAAAATCAAAATTTTAAACTTTCATTCACAACTATAATGGCTTTAAATATTTGAATTTTCCAAGATGGCAGCATGTTCCCCAAGTGGGATTTTTCGGGAATTTTAGTATGATGTTCCCAGCTGTACGTACGACATCTCCACCAATTTTCCTGGGACCGATATACTTTTATGTATACACACGTCTATGAACGCGATAACATGAGTAATTATTGTCCGATTTTGATGAAATTCGGCTTGAAGATGTAGGGCGGGATAAACTTGAATGAGTTCACAAATCAGCATGATCGCACCATGGGAACGGGGTTTTACGGGGGTTTGATGGGCTAAAAATGGGTTTTTCTCATTTTTGACCCTCAAAATATAACATTTCCCAATGTCTCTTCAAACCATTTTAAAGAGCTAAAAAACAAATAATTTATTATAATGAAGTGTTTTTACAATTATTGTTTACAGAGTAAATTTAAAAAAATAATTTAAAATTTGCATTTAAAAAATGGGGAATAAATAAACTGTTGTCATTTGCTTGTTTATAGATACATTTTGACCAAACTTGGCAAATTTTGTTATTCTAAGCTATTAACATTTTACTAAAAAACACAATTCATTACCCTCCCTATAGCAGAAAACCTAGGTACTTGTCAACCCTAATGTTATTTAAATAAATTTAATTGAAAATCTAATCAGGTAAGTGGAAATTCGCTTAGTCTGCAGGTTTGCTGTGGCAGGAGTAGACCTTATGTATTTTTATTGGAGTATTTTGCCTCCTTATAAAAAATCCATAACTCAAAATGAAACCTGTTTTACTTATAATTATCCCTTAATGTTAACTTTGAAAGAAGAATATATATACTACTTCCTCCTGTGATGCGCTATGTTCACTTGAACTACAACCTTGTCTATGAGTTGGTAGCCCTGAACCTTCTTGCCTAGACAAGAATAATTATGAGCTTCCTAACCTGGTTAAGGTTAAATCCTTAGATTCTTTGGATTTACTTCCTAAAATGCAGTTCCTAATGACATTTAATTGTGACCTACTGTTGATGATACTAGTGAATTTCACCTACAGGGAGGAAACTATTACTGTAGGTAGGCATGATAAGAACTAGACCTGAGACCGATATCCTTTTTCATTTTTATGTCCACAGATGCCAAAAAACACTACTCATACAAATGTTTTATATGTGTTTTATTTACATCTCTCTATCTATATACATACATAAATAGGGTTGGACAAAAGTATGCACACCCCCCTCTTTAATGGGTTACACAAGGAAAACCAAACCCTTCGCACCCATGTATGGCATAAATGTAAAATTTTCTGTTGGGTTTCCAATTTTGATCGAAAATAAAAAATGGGTAATTTGAGGGCAGCTCAAAAATGTTAACCGTAAAGCCGCATCAAAAGACACCTCATTTTAAAGACCAGTTAAAAAAAGTATAGGTGAAAGCCTAAGGTCTCTATTTCAACCCATTACAGAATGGTGGGCATAACTATTGTTTATCAGCTTGAGTGACCCCAAGTAAAAATATACATCAATATCCCCTAAAGTTGTATGGGTTGTACCAGGAAAAATAAACCCATTATTATCGTAACAAGAAACTAAAAACCTACTTGGTCGGTATGACCATTTTGCCCGGGATCCCAAAATGGGGTATTTAGGTGGCAGCTCAGAATTTTAAAATATGAAGCCCCATCAATTTAAACTTAATTTGAAAGGCCATCAGTTAAGAAGAATATCGGCAAAAACCAGAGGTAAACCTACATGCTACATTATTTCCGACTTTTGGCAGATTTTGTTTCCATTTTTGGTACACTTGTTTGCTTAAACAGCCGGAAATTAAACATACCGGGACTTATGACTGCTCCTTCCCATTCTTCATCCCTATATTCCCTAGCTACCGCATACATATTGTGCTAGACACAACAAAATGCAGAAAAAATATACAGTATAATTCACTTCTTGGAAAGTTGACAACTTAAAGACTTCTAAATTTTTCTTGATGGTCCTAGAACCATGATGCGCTTCCTTATCAATTCAAATTTCTTGCCATACTCATAACTATGGGAGATACTCAGTATTTGATATTTATGTAAATAAATATGACCTTTTGACCCTCGGTTCAGTCGATTTATTATGTGACTGAAAATAGAAACATGCGCCATTGATCTTGTACTTCCTCAAAACTATAGGCTTCCGGATCCTTCAGCGAGATTCCTAAACTAATATTACTGCCTGTTGGATAAAATAGTGACTAAGGTCGTAACTACTATAAAAGTTCACCTGAATTAACCAATAATATGTTTTATCTTTGATAGAAATTATTTATATGTGGTTAAATTTCAATGAGTAATTTCAAACATTTGTCAGAATAAAACTAGGATATCGACATTATGGCTAATTTTTACTACTTGAGGTTAGATTTTTCATATAGTTTTACTAAACAAATCTATAAAATGTAAAACATGTAGTCCCTTTATCTTGATTAAGTTATGTTTCAACTGACCTAAAATACCAACTGGTATATCCTTGAGTTCTTTCTCAATTATGTCGAAGACGAATTGTCCTTTGCTGAAGTCTACTGCAATAATCTTGGTATTGACTCCATACAAACTCTCTGGAAAAACACAATTAACCAAATTAATTAATTAATTAATTTAAACTAGTGTACATGTTGCTCGAATTCGAGCGATTGCAAAGTATTACAGGAGTTATTTCAAAACGAATAACAGTCAAATTTACAATGAGTTTAAAAGAGTCAACTCAAAGATTACCGGTGTGTAACTCATGGAGATACTCACGATGTATATAACAGTAATCAACATTTCCTGTAAATATTGTATCATATTTCATAACCTGGTATTGATTTTTAATGTTTTCTACAAACATTTCCTGACTTATAGCCATACAAGGTTGTCCATGTTTATCTTTGTTTTTGATAAACCTAAAGCATTCCGGCCGGTTTTCTCCTTCTCAAAATACCTCGATGTACAGGCAACACAGGTCATTGATAGAGGGCCAATTGAGAATGAAAACTTCGTTCTCGTTTTGGGGTAGTGCTAGGGCGCATTTGAGATCGTCCAGGGTCAGGTGCTGACTGTGATCACTGTTCTGTAGCTGCGGTCCTTATCACGATTACGCCTCCTGTCTATGTTGCATCGAAGGCATTTAAAAGAAAAAAAAACAACAAATAAACAAATTATAGCTACACAAAACAACGATAAATGCACAAATTTCAGTTACAATCATGCTAACTCGATCCGTCATAGCGACACAAAACAACGATAAATACATAAATTTAAGATACAACCATCCTATCACGATCCGTCTTGGAGGTTATGTTTACACAAACTCAAATAGTAAATAAATGTACTCAGTGCGTTTCATTGAATTGAAAAATAAATAACAGCAATTAAATATACAGCTGATCAAAATGTAAACAATTATAATCTCCATAAGGATAAGATGGGAACTTTAACAGCCACTGGGGCAGAGCCCAAGGGACTTTTTCAAAAATGTAAGGCCAGTTTGCAAATTTACACAACACGCTCTTTCCAATGAGACGTCAATGGATAAAATCGGTTAAGAAATGGCGGAGGAGTTCAACCGACAAAGTTTCATGTAGCGTATTAATTATATAGATACCTATTAAGGCTAACTTTTTAATAATAAAGGATCACTTTAATTGGCAAGTCCCAATTATAATATTGTACTCTGATAAAAAATACTTTGTTTAACAAACGTCACATTTTTTGAGTACTTTAGATTTAAAATTTTCTTAGGTCTACGGCCAGATTGAATTGTCCACATATTTATCTTTAAATAGGTATTGAAATCGGCTCTTTGGCTCAAATTAAACATACATTTACAACCAATGAAAAGTATTCAAGAGAACAAACCTGGTATAAAAATGAGAACTAATATTTATGTGTAGCAACTAACAAAATATTATCATCACCAGTAAAACAAACAACTTAGTTACTGCCAGTAACAATAGAAAAATATAGTAACGGATTTGTCATATATTGTAAAATAATTCACTAAAATATTTGTCTCCTAATTTAATTTTATGAAAATAATTTCAAAACAGCAACAAATTTTATGATACAGGACGAGTTTACAGATTGAGTTGACCTGTGTAGCTTTGTTACTGATTAAGATCAGCTGTTTCTTCGACCAGGATTATTTGTTAAACCCAAAGATCATGGGCAAAATTGTTCCATTTTCAAATGCAGTGACCAGACCTTATCTAAAGGAGTGTATTTATTAACTACCCTTATCCTTCAATGTTATCTACTCAGGAGCAATGAAGGTTTTCTGATTTTGATGAATCTATTTTCTTGGTGCCTCTTTTGGTTGAAACAAATTAGCCAGTTCGCCAGTTCGCCAGTTTAGCTTTTGTCTGCTGCCTCTAACTTCTTTGATTCATCTGGTATGACCTGAATATCATTGTTAGGGTTTTTATGAGCCAATCAAGTGGGAAGAGCTTGTCCTAATTCGGCCGGAATTTTACAAGGAGTGGAGTCACAAAGAAAGGTGACGTAACATACCATTGAGGTCCAAAGCAGCAAGGGCAAAACCTTTGTTGCCTGTTTGGTGGCTTTCTCCTACCGTTGCCCAACTTGGTGACTGTCCAAGTTTTTTGTACAAGTTTTTATCTAATTTGGTCCTGTTTTGTACATTGCAACACTAAAGACATTAGGTAGCGCTAGTTCGTTCAGGTTTCTTATTTATTTCAGCAACTTTTTTTTGGAAGACTCATAATTAAAAAATAGTGGTGACTATAAGATGCAGTAAAATTAAGTTGTTTTATTTGACACATTTTGTTTGTATTTATTTTTTGTGTTTGTCTACTGAACTGTTATGTGAACGGTTTTATTGTTATTTCCAGCTTCAGCTAAAAACTTTGTTCACTAATCCTGATGAAAAAAGTCAGCAATATTCTTTTAGATAAAGTAAACCCAACATTGGCAGCAATGAACATTTAACCAATTAAGAGCATCCTAGTTTATTATACTTTTGTGCTTACGCCAGTGGAACTTTTACGTTTTTGTCCCCGAGCAATAGTCTTGTTATTATCTATCTAACTTCAACCTTTTATTAGATAGCATCATTAATTGATAGCCCAAGATAAACGTCATCTGGGTCCAGTACCGATCTCGCGGAATCGAACCAGCGACCTATAAGCCTAAGGTGAGCACTATCACCCCTATGCTTCTCAGACAATTAATTAGCATAACTACGTTGATAATATTTGTAATTAATTTTCAAAATCTTTTTATAATATAATTTTGCCTAACCCACAATTGACAGTCTTGTCAATTAAATATAAATATAACTCTAAATGCCAGGCACTTGCCTGTCATTAATAAGCTTTAAAAATATGAATTTAGTTTACAGTACACCTACCTATACCTTATATATTTGAACATGGAACATAGTGACAATCAAGTCATACTCATCCAAAAGCTTTCATTACATCAGAACAATCAGTCAGATAACCCAAAAGATCAAAGATTTTACGCTTAGTTGGAATGTGCGATCACGTTTTTAGATTACTTCGAACTTTCAATTATATTATCCTTCATTTCGGGATTAAAGTGGACAAAAAGAGTAGTGTGTATACTCTTTATACTGTGAAATAATAAATATAACACCTACCTTTAAAATTTGCGCTTAGCTTGTCATTGGAGCAAGATTTGAAATTTAGAATTAAAATGTAAGTTTCGATTCAGATACAATTAAATGACACTTTTCTAGTGGTATTTTTATTACTATGGATATCGTTGTTGATACTTTAAGTTTTTTTTTTATTACAGTATATACAACGGTAATAACCACATCTCTTGTTAAATTAATGGGTGTAAAATAAGTCAAAACTAAAATTTGTTCTTATGGGACTACAGTAAACCTCCAAAATTGTTACTTAAATCTGGCGTTTTAATTAATTGCCTAGATTGGTTTACAGCAACCTTAGCCATTAAATTACTTCTTAATCAGCATAAACATTTCGCTTAGGGATAACGAAATCCAAATCGAGTAAATTGGTAGTGCCTTTTTTCTATAGGCCAAGTTTTTTGTTTACGGCTTTATTCGATTTTTAAATATATAGGAATTCTGAATTTAGTTATGTTCGCACTCAGCTGTGTAGATGAGTGGTTATAGTGATCATCTGATAATCCAAAGGTTGAATACCAATAACCTTTTTGGTTTCATCTCGGTTCAGCTATCTTTGACCATTCGGCTGATAAAAAAAGTTTATCAACAAATATACGCCGTTCTACACCCATCTAACCAGTGACGTAGCCAGGGGGGGTCCTGGGGGTCCGGACCCCCCCCCTTCCGGTCTTAGATATAATATTTTTTGTTAAATTAAATGTAAAATTATATAATCATACTGTATTGACGTTGGGGTTGATTATTTTCAATGCCAAGAGAGCTAAAAAAGGCCGTTTTAGGGCCTATATTTTTCAAATTGTTCCCAGACCCCCCTTTTACCTGAGGGGTATGGAACACCCCCCAGACACCCCCGGTCGGTCGACCCCCTATTTTGAAATCATGGCTACGTCACTGCTAACATTCATATTCATATGTAGTATCAAAAGTAACGATAATGGTAATAGTAATAGTTACCTATTTGAGCAGCGACTTTGATTAGTTTGTCGTGTGTTCGAGAGATCAAAACTATGTTGATGCCTCTTTTGGCCAATTCCATGGCGTAGGCTCTTCCGATGCCGTCCGTGGACCCCGTTACCACTGTAACCAACACATAGCTAATGCAAATATCGAATAAAATAAATTATAATCAAATTAAATCGGATATATTTCCACTATAGATGTACACATAAAATAACAATTCATTATCAAAAATAAAATACGATTAGAGTAGTTAAATGCATTATATAATATTAATAAAATAAAAATATAAAATTTCATAAAAAAGTAGAAAACATATTGATTAAAATGTATTGTTCGGAAAGTAATAATTGAGTATAGACGTATATTAAAGAGTATACATCTATGATTTTAATTTGCTTATAAACCTCATATGAGTTTTAGTACTATGAGAGTGGGTTATGAAAGTAAAACTTTAAAGTATTTAAACATAAAAATAAGAATGTCTTTTAGAAACAATTTTGGAACGATTTTTTATGGCACTAACGAGGCGCAAATTGAGCACGCCAAAACCCGCAGGGTTGCCAATTTCTATACAGTATATTACTTCCTATAGTTCGCCAGATACTTGCATATGCCTGCCCAGTTTGTTATCCTCATCACATCAGAGGAAGTTATTGAGATTTGTTGGAGTTCGCCAGGGGCAGCAGTATTCCGGGGATGCGGAATACTATCCCCCGGAAAATCACCCCCCCCCCCCTAGGTGAAACGTGACGTCACAAAATCTGCTAACTAACCAATATGGAAGCCGTATCCGTGACTGGAATACTACCCCCCCCCCCAAGACAAATCATGCTATGTAATTTTAATTTTAATTCGAGTAATTCCGTTGGATGATAAAAAAAGGCATGTGGGGAATATAAAACGGATTTTCGAAATGTTACAGCAAGTTTGGTTGGTTAGGTTAGGTTAGTTTAGAATTGTTTGACAACTAAACCTGAGTTTCCGTGACTGGAAAACTGCCCCCGGTCTCTGACTTCAATATAACGTAGGAACCTGCTTGGGGGGGGGGGGGGTAGTTGTCCGGGGGGCAGTCTTCCGGCGACCCGTATCGGGACTCGGGAGGTGACTATGGCTCTATTGCGAGCGGACCCAATTCATGATCTCCATGCATCAGCATGATCTACATGGCTTCAGGCGATGTTTATGTGATGACATTTTCCTCTCTAAACTACTCAATGGACTGATTGATTGTCCTGCTTTGTTGTCAGGAGTAGATATGCGTGTTCCATCTGGTACAAGATCCCAAGACGTATTCGGAAGGAGACGCCATGCACGTGGAAATGGATCCCTAGCAAGGATACTTCGTAATGGGAATATCGTCTGCACCAGTGTTGACATATTTACAGACAGTCCAACTATAATCCGAAAGAGGGTGCTGGCTAACTTCCAGCTCATTGTAGTTAACATTCACAATCACTGATTGTATCGTTGTTTTTTTATTTGTTTTATACAGGGTGTTCATTTGAAAACTTTCCATAGATGTTGTGTACTAAGGTAAGGCTTTTAATATTTGTTCGTTCTCATTTCCCCCTAATTTGGGGTTAACTCATTTTGTTACTGTTAAATTGTATTTAGTCGTATTGCATGTAATCTCAAAGAAGAATTTATATCCATAGTTACTAATTATGTTAGAATACGTCATCTTTATGTATAATTGTAAACTGGTTCTTGGGTGTGGAAAGGTAAAATAAAATAAAATCTACGCTGATTTGATGAATTATGTTTATACGATATTAAATACAGTCACAGGCTCCATCTCCCTAAACAACAACCTTTTCCAAATAAAACCTTTGAATATAAATAAACTACTTTTAGGCTACTATTATAGTAGTAATTCCATTCCAGAGTTAAAGCTGTAGCCAATTTCAGGAAAAAAACTTGGTGGAATTAATCCTCTGTCAGAGTTTTATGCTGTAAAAATGTATTTTTTTATACAGTACACCATTCCTTAGTGATGCTAGAATATTTTATGACTATCTTAAGTATGAAACCTATAGGAGACAATAACAATTTTATAGTAGGATCTTTTATGAAGGCTTCATTCAACTGTTTTATCCTTGAGTAACAACTGGGAACTAACTACAGCTGAACCTTATGGATACGTCTACCTTAGTATCGAAAGTCAATGATAAAACCATACATTCCCAACGGATTTGTCGTCCAATGGATTGTCTGAAGAAAGCATTAAGGAGTTTTGATGTTTACAATTTATTTCTTATTATTTAAACAAACAATTCGTTCAAAAACAATTGCTTGTCATATGGTATAAACAAAAGTATGGAGCACGTTAAGTCCCCTTATAATATAGATACATTTATTAAACATTGGCGAAATCAGGTGTAACCTATATTAGCTAATTATATCTTGCTCATATACAGTATAACGAGAAGTATTCTTGTAGAAATTAAAGCTAGCTTTGTATGTAATGTAGGTAGGAGTCATATTATTAGTTTTGAATAGTGAAACACCATTTAATCCCTTACTACAGTACAAACCATTCATTGAAACAAGCTGAGTTTATGGGATTTTGTAAATTTACAGAATTCAACAGAGTTTATCAGTTATACCTCGAGTAAAGGTGTGCAACTCTATGTAACTCTTACATTGTGTGCACGATCTGTTCGTGAAACACGATTTGACCTAGATTGGGAGAACTGGCAACCGAGAATTAAACTTAGCTGGAAAAACTACGATGCCAGCAAATGAAATGAAATGATGAAATGAAATAATATTTTATTTCCCGTTAGTTAAATATACATAAGTACATTGTATTTTTTTACTTAAAAATTATACAGCAAACATTACTATGTTGATAACAAAACAAAAGTTTTATACTGTAGAAATAAAGCTAACAAAAGTGTAAAAAATCCCTTCTTTAAAAAAGGAAAAAGTCTACATAGGCAGGGCCTGTGTGTAGACACTAGTTGCGAAAAAGTTAATTTAAATGGGAGGTAAACAAATTTTTTGAGAAATAAAAAATAGTTCGTATAATTTTTAAAATTTTAAAATTTGTCTTGCTTTAAACTGAGTTTTCAGTGTTCTGGAATGACATTGACAATAAAAAAAACTCTTTGAAACTGAGTCAAGAAACTGACGGCAGTGTTCTCGTATTAGCATCAACTGGTTGTGCTCCTTCTAATCTTAATAGACTTTGTTCGAAAAAGTCTGTGTCGAAATTTACTATGAAATTATCTATGTGAAATAAGCTACTAGCAATAAATGATCGACATACGTTTACGCCAAGCGAAACATGAAAGGCAAGCTGAAGTGTTTGGTGGTTTTGTTGCATATCTGTGTGGTGATATGGCTTTATCGGTGCAAGAACGGTCGTTAATAATGCCATATGATCTTTCAAGTCAGTTGTATACACATGGACATTTCGTAGACGAACACTGTAAACCAATTTTTTACTAAAAACCATCATGCGTCAGTCTGGTGAGGAGCAAAGTCATTTCGTAATGCTCTTACTAATATTGCTCATGGAACGATAAGAGAGAAAGATTATAGATTCTTTTCTTTACGATTCATATAAAAATATCAACAAAATCTGAACTTTGCAACGGTTGTTCGTATCACGGCAAGAAAGACATGTGGACGTGGCTACTTACAACCTTAACGAATTGGCTAAACTGGAAAGTCCTGTGGCATTCATTCGTGCCATAAACAAACCTTCAATAGCAGCTAAAGTGTGTTCCGATTAATGCCAATCTCTTGAACACATCCTCAGATTAGCCAAAGGATATACACATGGACATTTCGTAGACGAACACTGTAAACCAATTTTTTACTAAAAACCATCATGCGTCAGTCTGGTGAGGAGCAAAGTCATTTCGTAATGCTCTTACTAATATTGCTCATGGAACGATAAGAGAGAAAGACGTCATGCTACGCCACAACTTATAAACCAATGCAGGATTAGTCAATAGTGCTGTCGGCACTGTCATTTTATAGGAATATGAAGAAGTCTTATCACATTTGGACATGCAGCCTTTGTGTGTATTAGTTGAATTAATAATTATAGAGGACCCATAGTACTCAATTAACTGGTACCCATCGTCCCATGTTCGTGTTCATTATAACTACATTTGTAGAACGTGGCATTAAGTGTACCTGAAAACAATTTCTATTGACACCTGCCTATTCTCTCACAATTCACAAATCCCTGAACCAACAAGAAATAAAGAAAACCAACAACGCAAACTAGAGGTCTCTATCTCAATCCAGTAAAAATGGCAGGCAATTGAAATTCTCAGAAGTAAAATTTAACTTACAGCTTTCCACGTCTGGACTGGAGACCCCCTGTAAATTTTGTAACGGTTCACAGTAGGAAATCTTAACTCTACACACCTTTATCGCATGTTATGAAGTACTTTTTGAGCCTAATTGCTACTTGATTCCCAAACCCAAAATGGGGGATTTCGGGGGGAACTCGATGGGTCTTACCTTTTGAAATTTTTGAGTTTCCCCTAAACCCCCCTCTTTGGTGATGCACAAGTGGCGGTTATGCCCAAAAAGTACTTCATAACATGCCATAAAGGTGTGCCGAGTTTAGTTTTTCTAGTATGGGCCGTTAAAAAATTAACGGGGGGTCTCCAGACTTTTTACTAACCCTGTATATTGTTGTTGATCGTAGTAAGATTTGATACATTCTTATATATTAGGTCATTGTTTAGTCTGTTCTATCTTCATGTATGTATGATATGTATATTCCTGAAATGTAACGTTTTGCCATATTTGTATGCATATGTAAAATGGAGTTTTCCGTTAATAAATAAATAATATGTTGTGTCAATTACTAGTACTTCGTTTTTTTACAAAAATAATCTTATCTTATGGCGGTGGATGCACTTGTAAAAAATCCTTGCAGGCTATAATATGGTCTATTTTTTAGCCATGTATTGGCAGTGCTAAATATGCAGGTTCTTCAGTGCTCGGGGTAGGCTATTGTAGATCTTGAGTGCCAAGGCCGGGTATGATTTTTTCGGTTTTTGAGAGTCTGTAGAAAGGGATGTCTATTTCCTGTGACGCTCAGCGTGAGTCTACCTATAAGGCCAGGGCCACACGTGGCGGATCGTCCG